AATCTTATCATATTAATAAATCCAAAGCTATTATAAGATTAATATTAAATTACCTTTAGTACATCATTCCTTAATCTTTAGAGTTATGGTATTTCAGATTCCAATGATTTAAATTCTAATTATTTCAAGTTGATTAATAATTCTCCTTTTTTCTATATTTTAATGATTTAATCTTCAATTTCAGGTTTTTTAGTTATTAATTTAGCTTATTCACTAGATAACTTAAGATTTGTAAACACTTATTGGAATATTAATTAATCAACAATTTCCTTTTAATTGATTTGAATTAAAAGACTTTGACTAATCTCAATACATGTTGATATGTTGTTGGTTTAAAGAGATAAATCAACAAAAAAACATCCTTTAAGCAAAAGAACTCCATATAACTTTTTCAAATGATTTGCAATTGTAGAACATGATTTAATTTCTTATATTGTTTTCAATATAGTATAATAATATCTTATTATTTCTGAATAATTTTAATTGGTAATATTTTTTAAAGGTAATTATTATAATAATGAATTTACCATTAGATATTCATCTTTTAATTTCTTCAATTCATTATCATAATTTATTGTAATTAAATTAGTTTGTGTAATGAAATATTTAATGTAATGATCTATTTCTTAAGGTTTATTAAGTTAATCTTTGATTAATTATATATCTTATTAAATTGTTGACAATATTATATAATATTAGTATACATGTTAATTGACTGAATTTAAAAACTAATCAAAATTACTGAATCTTTCAAATTCTCTATCAAAATAATCCTTATATTTTAATTGTTTATTTTTCTATTATTAGATTTATTGTAATATTATAGATTTTCTATTTAAAACCTTCTATTCATCTTAGGCTATTAATTGTTTATCTTTGTCTTCCTATATCATAGATAATAATGTCTAATTCATTTAAATTTTATCTACTTTTAACCATTGTTCTTATTCATAAACTAATCCAGAAACATTAGAATTCACTCTATTTGATCCAGAAGCATCTTTATAAACTTAAGCAAAATCTACTTTAGTAACTGTACTATCATTGCATTTCCACCAAGTTGTTAAATCTTTCTTGTCTAATACATAACAATAATAATGTCCACTATTAGCTGATCCATCATGCATTAATACTGATGTTAATAGATACATATTTTAATCTGATTTTAATAATTTTTTCTTTTATTCTTAAATTCTTTCTAATTAATCTGTTAATAATTAAACAGTTTTCATCATTTTTTCTTTATATGATTCTAATTAGAATAACATTTAATCACTTTGTATAATATTTGGATTTGCTGTGCTTTCATCACAGATACAAAATCCATCAATTGTTACTAAATTATCAATTTAACCTTCATTTCTTTTAAATAATTTTATAACTTTATTAAAATTTTCTTCAATCTCTTCTTTTGTATCTCCAAAATTTTTAAGTTAATCTAAAATTCTTTATTCTTCTTAATCTAATTTTTATAATTCTAAATTCTTTTATCCTTAATTAATAGTTTTGAATTGATTGATATTTAAGGATGAATTAAAATTAAATTAAGTATTATTTTTACATACTTATTTTTATTTTGGATCATAATAAACTCTATTAATATAAAAAGATATTAAAAATGGAGCTTATACAATATTTTGATCTATTTTAGCTTTTGTTTTCTCTTTATTTTCAGTTTCATATTCATCAATAATAAGTACTCTTGTATTAAGAAATCCTTTTTCTAAATCTTTATCAGCAGCCTCAATACTTATAGATCCAAAAGTAGTATCATTAAATTTAATAATCTCTTTATCATTCTCTTTGTAACTCAGTATTTCTTTAGCTTCTCCATAGAACATTTCACAAAATTATTTTTTTTGTTATTCAAAGTTTTCTTCCTTTAATGCTTATTCAATAGCATCCTAAAAGGAATTTTATAATTCATTAAAATCATTTTACACTCCTCTTATAAACATAGCACTAGGTTTAAATTTTTAAAGTGCATCAAATAAATTATATGGATTTATATATGATTAATTTGATTCTTGTAACATTAAAAATAGTAATTATAATTGAAATAGAAAATTGGAAGCAAGAGATTGATTATTTTTTAAATCAAGTTCCAATATAAATTTTCTAAATGGTAAAACATTAAAAAGACTCTATAACATGGCATTCATGTAACAAGCTAAAAAATTATAAATTTAAAAGATTTATACTGTTGCCCAAATTTTTAAGTCCCACTGGTGTTGATTTATTGATTCTTTCTTCAGTAATTAGTGGTTTTTATCTATAAATATTTATAAATATATAGTACTAAACATTTTAATCCAAGGATAATTGGATAGCAATTTTTAAATCTTACTATTCTATTTATTAAAGTTGCATTTTAAGTTGTATTTGAGAATTGAACAAATCCTCTTCATTCATAATTAAAGCATTTTCTTTTTCACTAGATTATATATGAATAAAATACCTAATCTTAATAAGTTCTTCATGGAATGTTTATTAATTATATCCACATTGTTACCATGCTTAAAGTATTTGTGTTTTTTTGAATCCAATTTAAGAGTATTATTACAATAATTGATCAAATATGGTTGATGTTAGTTTAAAACTACGATTTAATTGTTTATTGGTACCCATTATATATTATTATATTTAATATGTAATAACAATAACAATCAACACAATAATAATAAAGATAAGATACAGTTGTGTTAAAAGAAAGAGAAGAAAGAAGATTTGAAGAGTTTTTTAATAAATTTTCAAGAAATGGAACCTCATTAAATTTTGCCGATATTCTTATGTTTGCTCTTGATCGAAGTCTTGTTACAAATGGTAATAATTTTAGTATGTTTCTGACTCATTTTAATGATGCATTAGGAGATGTAAAAGGGGAAAGAGCATTAAATAAACCTTAATTTTATTTCTTTCTTAAGTAACTGGCAAAGAAGATATTTCATAATGATCCTCTTCATTTAGAAAAGATGTTAAATGAGATATTATCTGAGAAAAGTGCAGTTAGAGATCATAATGTAGAGCCAAATCGTATAATTGTACTTGATGAAACAAATAAAAGATTATTAGCTGAATCATCCATATAAGCAATATCACTTTATGAAAGAGAATTAAAGAATATATTTACAATATATATGTAAGAAAATTTGTAAAGAGGTATAATAATGTTAAGATGGAAGGAGATTTGGGTTTAGAATAAAAAGATGAATATGGTATCATTAGTAAGATTTTTAAGAGATGCAGAAATTGTACCTCATATTCTATCTATTGAATAATTGGAAGAAATTTTACTCAAAATTATTCCACCTATTAATAATAAAGAATATGATTTTTTTTAAAAAGGACATTTTATTTAAATTTATGAAAAAAATTTATCAGATTGTAATGATACAGATCCATAAATGTTAATTCATGAACTTCAATTACTATTAGCAAGAATCTCATTTGAATTAGGACTTAAAGAAGAAGGAGGAGGAAATCAAAATAATAGAAAATTAGATGTTGAAAAATATTTAAGAAAATTTTTTGGTGAATTAATGTTATTTAGAAAAAATGAAAATATAGATGGTCCACTTCCTAATTTAAATAGAAAACTTATTAAAAATTTAGAAAAATTCACTAAATAACTACTGAATGATTTAAGTGATTTTGAAGAAAAGGATTCTTCAGATGATGAACCAGATGGAACAGATGAATTATAAAGAATTGCAGCATTATAAGGATCACTATTATTTGAATAAGGTATATTTATATATATATATTTAATGAAAAGTGTCACTCAATATTCCTGTTGATTAGGTTATCAAAATGTTAGATAAGGAATTACCTCCTATTCCTCCTTTACCTTAACAAGAAAAATAAATGCCAAAATGGGATCCAGAAAAAAGATTAGTTATAGGAAATCCAAAACCAGAATCTCCTAAAAATAAGAATCCTAAGCCTAAACCAGCAAAAAAATAGTAATAAAGAAGAAAAGCAGGTGAACCAGAACCAAGAAAAATCATATATGAATAAAAAACAGAACCAAAATAATCAGAATAATATATTTAGGAATTAGCTGATAAATTGAAATTCGAATAAAAATTAATCTCAGATGTTGAACGTGGTTCTCTATCAGATGTATAAGTTGCCCCTGTTCTTATACCAGAAGTACTATATCCTCCTAATCCACCTTTGGATGTATAATTTTTAGTTGAAGCAGCCATCAATTCTCATAATGAAGCTAATTTTGTATTTGCAATATAGAATTATGATGATGCAAGAGTATGATATAAATAAATATCATAGAAAAAATGGATTGCTTTAACAGGAAGAGATTTAACTGATGGATTAGAATTGTATTTTGAATTTAGTAAGGCCACTGTATATGAATCTGCAGGAAGAGATGATTTAGCCTTAGTGGCATATTTGAATGCAAGATAATTTTCAACTAAATTACCAACAAATAATCCTGATAAAGCTTTGGCTTATTGTGGACTTGGATCAGTATTCTATAATACAGAAGAATATGATTGGGCACTTAGAGCATTTTTGAAGGTAATATTTTTATTAGATTAATGTAAATTAGGCTAGAGAATATAGAGAGAATAGTATTGGTGTAGATACAGTTGATACTGCCACTGTATATAATAATTTAGGATGTTGTATGTATATGTTAGAACGTAATAAGGAAGTAATATATATATTTTTAATATTTTCATAGTCATATGGATATTTTAAATTGGCACATGCTATATTAGAATCTTAGTTAGGTCAATTTCATCCTAGAACATTGACAGCTGCTAGAAATATAAATAAATCTAAAAATTGTTGGTTTGAAAATAAACCAGAATTTCCTAAATTATGGGTTGAATATGCATAAGATCCTTTTGCAGGAGGTAAAAAGAAAAAAAAGAAGAAGGGAAAGAAGTGATGTTTTATATAACTAATGTTATTTTTCTTATTAATAGTATAAATAGTTTTATAAGATTTGAAAAAAAAATAAAATATTATTAATAATTTAATTAGATGGCTTTGAAATCTGCTGCTTTATTTGAAAAGATGGATCCATTCATCAAAAGTTAAGGAGCTGAATTAGTTAAAAAAATCAATGCTGTTTATTACTTTGAAGTATCAAAGGCAAAAGGAGAAACTCCAGAAGTTTGGACTGTTGATCTTAAAAATGGAACAGGAGTATATCATATTATTTATAATCAAAGTCAATCTCTAAAGGAAAGGTTGGAACAGCTGATGCCACCTTCACTATGGTAGATGATGATATGATTGCTATGGCTCAAGGAAAATTGAATCCTCAATAGGCTTTTATGCAAGGTAAAATGAAAATCAAAGGAAATATGGCCGCAGCAACCAAATTCACCCCAGATTTGTTACCAAAGGATGCAAAACTTTGAGTAAAATATAAAGATCCATATCATATATTCCATTATTAATTCTATAAATATATAATACAATCTTCAAATTGAATAACTGTATCCAAAAATAACTCTTGAGTATATTTTTAATTACTTTCCCTTTCATAAATAGTTATTTTTATTAATATTAATATTGAAATTGAAGTATATTATATATATTGGATTTCCTTTCGATGAATTGAATATCTACCTAGAATTTAATAATTGAATTTATTATTCTTTTATGCTATTCCATTTATTATTAGTATTAACACAATATCCTTTTTATTTCAAAAAAATATGAGTAATTTGAACATTTAAAATATTGAGATATATATATAATTGTTATCTAATTTCATATTGTCATATTTAAGTTATAGGGAAATTGATTAAACTTATTTCTTTTTGACATTTTCTATTTATTATCATAGTAAATATTAGAATTTATATTTTAATTCTAATAAATTATAGTACTCTGATATCTGATATAGAATTGAAACTTGTTTTAATATAAATATATTTTTCATATCATTATATAAATCTTATTTGTATTTATTTATTTAATTATTATGCTCATATCTATTTATTTGTAATTGATTTTAGAGCAATTCCTTTAAGTAATAAAACATAAGAAGTGGGTTACCCTTTTATTTGCTATTATTTATGAAATAATTAAAAAGATTGTTTTTTAAAAATTATTTTAAAAATGCCAAAAGGATAAACAACTAATACATAAAAAGCATAGAAAGCAGCTAAAAATGCAAGAGTTGCCAAGAAGGTCGTGAGAGCTAGAAAGCATTTCTAAAATAGATTCCATACAGAAAAGCCTTTAGCTTTATCTAGAAAACCAAAATTCACAAGGTTAGACAACTATCTTAATAAATTTATAGATTAACAAGATAACTTACTCCTGTTTCTAAAGGATTAGATTTCTAAAACGTACTTAGACATCCACTTATTACAGAAAAAGACATGAAAAAAATGGAAGATGAAAATACAATGGTGTTCTATGTTAATTAAAAATCAACAAAACCTTAAATTAAAAGAGCATTTTAGAAAATTTATGATGTTAAAGTCAGAAAAGTTAATGTAATAATGCTTAATATTTTAAAGATCCTTAATACTTTTGGTGGTAAAAAGAAGGCCTACATTAGATTAGGTGGAGAGAATGATGCTCTCAATTTAGCCAACAAGATTGGAATTATTTGAGCTCAAAAATAATTTATCAAAGTACAATAATATATATTTACATCATTTGCTAATTTCTATAATTATATTCATGTGTTGACATTCCAACTAATATATTTTTAATTGTAATAATTGTACATGCACGTTATATAATTATAAGTTTCACTTTTTGTTTTGTTTTAGAAGTCTAATTGAAATGCTAATCAGAAATAATATATAATTCAGTTATTAAGTAAGTTAAATTAAAATATCAATAGCATTTTTTTTTTAATATATGCATTCACCTTTACTAACAAAAACTGAATGATTATAAAAAATATCTTCATTTTTTCTCTATAAATATATATATATAAGAGAGTTTTACAACAGAATCAATTTAGAATATTTATTGTTTATAAAATTTAATTAAAGAAGGAAATGAAAAAATATAGCTAATTTAATTGATCTACTTCTTAGAGCAAACAATAAATTAAATAGTAGAAATTTTAGTTATTCTTCTTGATATATATCTAAAGGAAGAAATGCTGTTTACTCAAAAGGTAAAGAATTATATCTACAACTCTAAATTATTAAGAATTTAAGGGATGATTGAATAGAAAAATTTGATTTAATTAAGAAAATATTAATTAAAATTTTTAAGATATAATTATGAACGTCGGTACTCATGTTAGTGATGATTGTGTAACAGAATTCAATAAACTCAAATTGGGAAAATAATATAGATATTTGACCTTTAGATTAAACAATGATACTAATGAAGTCATATTTATAATTTATTTATTAGATTGTTGTTGATCACGTAGGAGAAAGAGATAGTACTTATGCTGAATTTGTTAGTCATCTTTAAAATGAAGTATAATTATATCTCATTATTATAGTCAAGATATGCTGTTTATGATTACCATGCATAAACTGATGATGTTCCACCAAGATAAGTTGAGAAATTAGTCTTCATATTCTGGTCTCCAGATGCTAATTAACCTGTTAAATAAAAGATGTCATATGCTGCAGGAAAGGAAGCTTTGAAGAAGAAATTAAATGGTTTATCTAAAGAAATTTAAGCTAATGATCCATCTGAAGTAGAAGAAGCTGAAATGCGTAAATTAGTATTGAATTGAGAATCAATAAACATCAAATAAATTTAATATTGTATTCAACTTATCCTTCTTCATATTTGTTTTATTTTATTCTATATTTTCATGTATATCTCTATATTGAATGTATTAGATAATGATTCAATTACAAGACATTAATTCAGCCAAGAATCTCTATATATATGATATATTTCTTTAAAAAGTATATGATTATCTATATTTAAATACTCAATAATCAATAAGTGTTTCAAGTTTCAAATTTTTGTTTTATACAATGAAAATTGATATAGAATGTTTCATTTAACTCCAATATTTATTATGAAAACCCTTAATATTATAGGAATAACTCTAAAGATGATAATAAAATTACAATAAAATAAAATATTATAAATTTAGGCCATAAATTCAATAAGTATTTTTTATATCAAATATCAACTCTATTTTCTTAAAGACTTAAATCATTTATTGAATTTATTTCTTGAATCTACATTATTGATGTTGCCTTTTATACTTTTAATTTATCATTAGTTTCAAATATTAATTTAACATCTTTATCCAAAAGACTTATTATACTATTTTATATTTTTTATGATTGCTTTCCTTTATCATTGTATAAGAATTGAAAGCTTATAATATTTCCTCTTCAAAAGAAAGTTATTTTGTATCATAATAATTTTGATTGATACTTGCTTTCATCTAATCTCTTGATCCTAATTAAATTTTTGGTTTATGTATATAATTAAACAATATTTATTAATCCTCATTTAATAATATTTTCTTCAACTTATCAATTTCAATTAGTTTATTAATAATATAGATAATATCAATTTAATTATAAATTGATTCAATACTCTATTAAATTAATTTTCTATCTTAACCCCAAGTAAATAAATATTAATGAACAAATAATTTTATTTATTGTGCTTTTAATTTAAAATATCTTTTTAATTAAACCAATTAACTTTAACTTATAAGTCCTTCAGCTTATCCTAGTCCTTGAACTTAAGGATGAACTTTTTATTAACCAGATGATTTTTCAAAATAAAATATTTCTGATGCTAAAAATAAATCACATGAAAGTTTATTGAAAGGTTTGACTAAGGTACCTGCCACAAATAACATTAATTCTAATAACCCTCCCATTTAACCTAGAATATCTAAAATATTATTGTATGTTCTATAATATACTGCTTCTCTATCATCTAAATATAAAGTTATATCAATTAATTGATTTCTCTAAATATTAAAAACTTACTCAGATTATCTTTCAAATTATAAAGCATTATATTCCTCATTATTTTCAAAATAATAAAAAAAATTTTCTTTATTATAAAGTTTTGATTTTCTCATCCATAAAGTTAATGCTTTGTATTAAAGGGATGATATTGTTGTACTTATCAATTTTGAAACTAAAGAAAAAGGATTCTGGGCTTTCTATTAATTAAGAACGGAATCTGAAATAAAAAAACCCAAATATCCTGAACTTAGCTTTTTATCAATATATTCTTAAGATGCACAATCTATATAGAATTATAAAATTTACTTTATCCAGATGTTTCATTATTACATTTCTCAATTTTAAATTAGAGACTCTTAAATATAGGAGTTTAGGGTGTTCCTTATAATGATAATGATATTTAATCCCACTCTTTAGGATCAAAGCACAAACTTGATTCTAATAAAGCTTTTGAAATATTTAGTTTTTGTTATATTTAACTATTAATTTACATTGTTGCACATGATTTTAATGTATAATTAGTACATTTATTGTTAATATTGTTATTTATATCAGTAATTCTTGAGCAGGCTTACATTTAAGCTGTATAAACTTGCTATTAAGATTTCTAAATTATTGGAGTTCCATAAGTATCTGACAAAACTAGATAAAAGATGAACTAATCCTATATTAGTTTGAATTCCTATGTTACAATATCAAATTTAATATTACTTCAGGATTAGCTTAATATTGGATATTTTAAATAACATTTGGACTTTTACGATCTATCATATCAATCACTAGGGATAGAAATGAATAATAAATTAGTGCTAAAATTCCAATACTCATTAACACTCCAAATATTGTATGATATTCATTTTCTTTTTTGACTTATAAGTTGATTTGTGATCCAAACATGTCAATTGATAAAAGTAGTTTCCTTAAATTCTTGAAAAACAAACTGCAAAACTTCATATATTATTGATAGTCTAAAAAATATAAATAATATTACAATCTAGAATTCATATTCCAGCAAAAGATTATTTGTATAATAATATAGAATTAAAACAGAATAATCTTTAGGATATGTGAATCTATAAAAAAAAATAAATTTAAGTTAAATGTGATTGATTATGATACAAAACTATAGACGTCACAGTAAAATAGAATTTTAAAGAGCTACAAAGAAATTTTATAAATTATTAAGTCACAATTATTATCATTGCATATTAAAATACAAAATGACGACATATTAATTATAATTTTATGTTTAGATTGAATTAATTGGCTGGATAATTTAAGGAAGTCAAGTTCTTAGCAGATCCTCTTGAATATCTTCAATTATATGAAATGCTTGAGAAAGACGAGAAGGATATTTGTTATGCTGTTCGTAAATTTGCATAAGAGAAAGTATTTAATAAATAATAATAAGGCTGCTCCAACTATCAATAAGTATGTAGAAGCAGCAGAATTTCCTACAGAAATAGTGGAGGCTTTAAAACCATTAAAATTAATTCATAAGACCAACACATATGTGAAAACAGGTTTGGCCTATTTAGAATTGGCTAAAGTTGATGCTGGTTTATCAACATTCTATTTGTTAATGTATAAATATATATGATTGTTTAGTTCATCATTAGTACCTCATAGTATTGAAACATTTGGTTCAGAAGAATAAAAATAGAAATACTTAACTAGGATTAAAGATATGGATATTTTGGGAGGATGGGCATTAACTGAAAAAGAATATGGATCTGATGCTTCTAGTATATAAACTACAGTCAAAAAAGTATAGGGAGGATATTTATTGAATGGTAATAAGAGATGGATTGGAAATGGAAATAAGGATATTTTAGTAGTTTGGGCTAGAAATAGTGAAAATAATAATATTGAAGGATTTATAGTAGAAAATAAATGGGCTGGAGTTCATGCAGAACCAATTAAACATAAATTAGCATTGAGAATAGTTTAAAATTGTTAAATTACATTTAAAGATGTGTTTATACCTGATGAAAATAGAATGCCAAAAGCTAAAGACTTTTAGAATGGTGTAACTTAAGCTTTATAACATTCAAGAGTAGGAGTACCTTGGATAGCTTTGGGAATACAAGCTGGAGTATATGAAAATGTAGTGAAATTCATAACAAGAAGAAAGTAATTTGGAAAACATATTGCTGGATTTTAATTATAATAAGAGAGATTGGCAAAGATATTGACAACATTTTAAGCTAGTTTTTTGATGGTTTTATAGGTTTCAAGATTAGCATAAGAGAAAAAAGCCACTCTAGGATAGATTGCTGCTGTGAAAGCTTGGGTAACTGATAAAACAAGAGAAGTGGCTAGATTAGGAAGAGAGATGATGGGAGGAGATGGAATTTTAATTGAAAATTATTGTATTAAAGCTTTGACTGATGCTGAAGTGGTTTATACTTATGAGGTAAAATTATAAAGTGAAATATTTTAATAGGGATCTTATGATATTAATAGTTTGATTGCTGGTAGGGAAATAACAGGATTAGCTGCATTCAAATGAAATTTGATATAGAAGATTATATATATTAATATATTATTTTAAATTTATTCAGAAAGCTAACATTAATAATATAATTATTATAATGAATAAAAAGAGTAAAACTCCTTAACAATCATCTTAACCTTAAAATCAACAATTTAACTAACCTTCTCCTATGATATAACCAATGTCTTTGCAATCAGGACCATCTCCATCTTAACCTGATACATCAGTATTAGATGAATCTGGTGGAGAGAGTGTAAAAGTTGCATTGAGAATTAGACCAATGAATTCATTAGAATAAGGAAGAGGAGATGAATAATGTATAAAAGCTATATCTGATTCAAATTGTTAACTTTATTATAAGTAATTCGTGATCTTAATTAACAAAGAGGATTAGCAAAGTAATTTCGATTTAATGCTGTTTTGGATGAAAGGTGTACTTAATAAGAGGTGTTTATGAAATGCAATATATAAGAATTATTAGATGCTGCCTTGGATGGATATTCAGCTACAATATTTGCATATGGTTAAACAGGATCAGGTAAAACTTATACGTAAATTTTAAAATTTTAATATAAAAGCATTTCTGGAGTAGAAGAACGTTTAGCAAGAGAAAAGTATATATCTGATGAGTCTGAAGGCATAATTCCAAGAGCTACTAGATATTTATGGTAAATTATGGCACAAAGAGCAGAGTAATTTTATGTAAAAGCTTCATTTACAGAAATATATAATGAATAATTGAGAGATCTTTTAAATCCTGCTTCTGGAATCTTGCATTGTAGATGGAATCTATAAAATGGATTCTTTGTTGAAGATTTAATGATTGTTGAATGCACATCATTCTCTGATATTTAAGCAGTATTACATGAAGGAATGAGAAATAGAAAGTAAGGATCTCATGAATTAAACAAAGATTCAAGTAGATCTCATTCAATATTGACAGCTTATTTAATTGGAGAATAGAATATAGATGGATAAATAGTTAAAGTATTGAATTATAATATATTAATATAGAGATATGGAAAATTTTCATTTGTTGATTTAGCTGGTTCAGAAAGATTAAAAGAATCTAAATCATAAGGAGATATGATAAAAGAAACTGGTAATATTAATAAATCCTTATTTACTTTGGGTAAGGTAATTAAATCTTTAAGTGATAAAAAGAATAAATTACCTTATATCCCTTATAGAGATAGTAAATTAACAATGCTTTTAATGGATTCATTAGGGTATTAATGAAATTTAATAATTATAGAGGAACTGCTAAGGCATTGATGATTGCTTGTGTTTCTCCTTCAGCTGCTTATTATGAAGAAACATTAAGTACAATAAATTATGCTACTTCAACTATGAATATTTAAAATAAACCAGTAATATCTATGGGTGAAAAGGATTAAATTATATATAACTTGACTAGAGAGAGAGATTTATTGAAAATGGAAAATCAATATTTAAGAGAATAATTATAAAGGTAAGCCTGATTGTTATTTAGGTATACAAATGGATTACCTATAGAAATACCGAATTTTAATGATAAAAATGGATAAAAAAAATAATTACCTCCATTACCTTCAAGACCTATTAGTCATAATTAAATTCTTAATAGTTAACAAAATGGATTTGATTAATAGATTAATTAAAATAATAGTAAGATTGATTTGCCAGTAAATAAAATATTACATGAATATTAAATGGAAATAAATAAATTAAAATAAGAAAATGATGAATTAAGAAATGCTCGTGATGTATCTGTTAAGAATTATCATATTGTTATGAATGAAAATAATGCTTTATAATTGAAATTAGAGAATTTAGAATAGATTTTTATTGGTAATCCAATAACCAAAGGAGATCAAGAAAAATCTAAAATTTAAGAAGAATATATGTCTAGTGCATTATTAATAGAAAATAGTGATTTAAAAAAAAAAGTGGCATCTTTAGAAGAAAAAAATATGGAGTTAGCTTAAGTATAAAATTGAATTGAATTTAATAGATAGCTAGAAAAAATCTTAATGGAAAGAGTAGTGATCCAAATGATTTACATGAAATAGTTTAATTGAAATAAACAAATAATTAGTTATAATAACGTGTAGAATTTTTATAAGCAAGAGAAAGGGATTTACTTGAATAAATAATGAGATTATAAAGATAACAAAAAGCTTATGCAGGATTTTGATAATAAATTATATTTTTTATATTTTCAAATACTACAAAATTTAGGATAGTAAGAAATTATTCTCAGAACTAATATATAATATATTATTTATTGTAATATACTATATTGATAGCACTTATTTATTGAATCTCTTATATGATTTTTGACATACAATTTTATCATCAAATAAAATTTATTCTTTATTATTAATACTTTTATCATCAATTTTAAATCACTTCCTAATTTCATTTAATGTAAGTGAAGGCTGAAAATAGAGAAGGAGACTATTGATAAATATTTATTTATCTATAACTGCTAGAAAATAATAATCTTTTTTCTCAAATAAATATTAAATAAATAAGATTCAATAAATATAAAGTGTGTTAAATTATGTATTCATTATTGGACAGGAAGTTCAAATGATTCTTCCTGATATTAAATAGAAAGAGATTTCATAATTGGTGAAAGTCCATGTGAATCTAAATTTGAAAGACGGTCACTCTCTTAATCAGATTCCTATAATATAAAAATATTTATACAGATGTGAATCCCTCTTAATCGAAAGGATTCATAACATTTTGAAGATTTATCTTTTTTATCTTATCTAATAAATCGTTATAAAAATATACCAAATTTGATTGATTCATCATCAGAAAGGTCATATAATGATTATATTTGAATAACTTACAATAATTGGGAGTTAAATGAAAATAGAATGCTCTGGGATTGGTACCTAATTTAAATTACTCTATTGTCATTATCCTCCCAATTAACCTAATGACCTTTTGTTATTATTGCTTTAAACTAAATAAGTTAGTCTATTTTCACAAAATATTATACTTTCATTCACATCAACAGATATGTGACCAACCCAGAATGGATAAATATCTGGGTTTGTAGATAATTGTAGGCTATCTGAAGGGTTCCATAAGCCTAACTCTTTAACACTTCCAACAATGCACACAGACTCACTTAGAGTAGTTTCACATCTAACTTTAAAATTCAATTTAATTGCCATTAAACTGAGTTTTTTTGAGAAATATTGATGTATTATTATTAATATTTATATCGAAAAAATGATCCTTAAGAAATAGCAAATTATTTTCTAATATTTATTAATAACTAATAAATTAATTATGGAAAGAAAATCGAATTCACTTTTGAATAAATCTACCTTATTTAAAATATATATATATATTGCTTATATGAAAGTTAATTCTGATATTTCCTTCCTATTTTAACAATAAAATAAGCCTTTCAATTTAAAATTACATAAATAAGTAATTTCTTAAGAATAAATGATAATTTAAATTCAATATTATATAATTTCAAAAATGCAAACAGTTAACTTTTCAATTTCAATATTTTTAGATGATTTTTATATCAATTTGAAATTCATTTCTAATTTCATTTACAATTAAGAATAAATAAAATTTATGAGAAAATTTTATGATTCTAATTATATTTAAATATACTACAATTCATTTAATTATATTAGATTGAATTATGATTATTTTTTTAAACAATTGTGAATTAAATTACTTAACTATCATAAAATAAATACATTTTTCATTTAATCAACTACTAAAAATATTCATATGTATATAAAAACATATCAAATTACATTCCCTTTGTTAATGAGATGAATTCTGTCCAATAATCTATATCATTATTCAATTAAAAGAAATTATTTAATTTAAAATCTAATCCTATTTATAATTCATCATATTTTTAAAGATTCTTATCAACTAAGAAAATTTCAAATATATTCCAATTACAGTGAGTTTCTAATCATTTTTGATAAATGAGAAATGAGCAAAATCTTGAGGTTTATAATGATCCAAATCAATTAAACTTTTTAATTGCAAGAATTAATATTAAAGTTTTTTAAATAAGTTCAAAATTAATTAATTAGGATTGCTCTCCTAGTTCAAATTAAGATTTTAAAAATGTTAATTTTAATATCTTTTAATATAATGAAAGATTTTAGTCTCTTTTAATTAGATAGAGTTTTAGATGATATTATAAACTAATATCATGAAAATTAATTATCATAATCATTTTTTTAATATAATATTAATTACGACATCTTTATAGTTTAATTCTCAAAATTAAATACTAGAGATATAAGAATATTATAATTATATTATAATATGATTTTTGATTTATTTTCTAATTGATTTATTTAAATGAGATAGAGAATTTAATAATAATCTGAAAATTATATATAGATCATATTAAACACTTCCATAAAGTACCTGAGCTTGTAATTTAGTATAAAAATAAGAATTAATAAAATAAATCAATGCACAAATCTATATTTTAAGTTATTATGTCTTTAGGATAAATTTCTTTTAATTCAGCAAAATATGCTTAACATTTTTATATTTAGATTTTATATGTTTTTTTTTTTTTNATATGAAAGTTAATTCTGATATTTCCTTCCTATTTTAACAATAAAATAAGCCTTTCAATTTAAAATTACATAAATAAGTAATTTCTTAAGAATAAATGATAATTTAAATTCAATATTATATAATTTCAAAAATGCAAACAGTTAACTTTTCAATTTCAATATTTTTAGATGATTTTTATATCAATTTGAAATTCATTTCTAATTTCATTTACAATTAAGAATAAATAAAATTTATGAGAAAATTTTATGATTCTAATTATATTTAAATATACTACAATTCATTTAATTATATTAGATTGAATTATGATTATTTTTTTAAACAATTGTGAATTAAATTACTTAACTATCATAAAATAAATACATTTTTCATTTAATCAACTACTAAAAATATTCATATGTATATAAAAACATATCAAATTACATTCCCTTTGTTAATGAGATGAATTCTGTCCAATAATCTATATCATTATTCAATTAAAAGAAATTATTTAATTTAAAATCTAATCCTATTTATAATTCATCATATTTTTAAAGATTCTTATCAACTAAGAAAATTTCAAATATATTCCAATTACAGTGAGTTTCTAATCATTTTTGATAAATGAGAAATGAGCAAAATCTTGAGGTTTATAATGATCCAAATCAATTAAACTTTTTAATTGCAAGAATTAATATTAAAGTTTTTTAAATAAGTTCAAAATTAATTAATTAGGATTGCTCTCCTAGTTCAAATTAAGATTTTAAAAATGTTAATTTTAATATCTTTTAATATAATGAAAGATTTTAGTCTCTTTTAATTAGATAGAGTTTTAGATGATATTATAAACTAATATCATGAAAATTAATTATCATAATCATTTTTTTAATATAATATTAATTACGACATCTTTATAGTTTAATTCTCAAAATTAAATACTAGAGATATAAGAATATTATAATTATATTATAATATGATTTTTGATTTATTTTCTAATTGATTTATTTAAATGAGATAGAGAATTTAATAATAATCTGAAAATTATATATAGATCATATTAAACACTTCCATAAAGTACCTGAGCTTGTAATTTAGTATAAAAATAAGAATTAATAAAATAAATCAATGCACAAATCTATATTTTAAGTTATTATGTCTTTAGGATAAATTTCTTTTAATTCAGCAAAATATGCTTAACATTTTTATATTTAGATTTTATATGTTTTTTTTTTTTTTGGTTTAATAATTAATTTATCAATGATATAATTATCTTAATAAATGTGATAATTTAATATATTTCTTTATTTTATTTAGTAATTCATTTGGCATTCAATTTTGTTATTCATCTTGTATTTTTTAAGCTTCAAATTCTTGTTTCATTTTTTCGCCAAAATGATGAACCAACGAATTTCCGTTTTAATCTTGAATGATTGAATTTTTTACTAAGCAATTCTATGTCTATAATTATCGTAATTATGGATATGATTTATAACAACCAAAATACTATAATATAATAAATATTCGAATACTTTTTAATTTTAATTCCAACATTTTTATTTATCAATTGTTATGATTTATATGAGACCTCCTGATAATTATAATGCTATATCTAAATTATTAGGAGAGACAACTATTGATTCAATATTGTAATCTATTTAAATCGATTATATTAATTTTTCTTTTTTATATTGATACTCCCAAAATGAAATAACATTGTCTTAAGAACATGAAATAATTATTTTATCATCCTTAGTGTAAAGAATATGTTTAATTGCTTGTTCATTTTTAATAGAAAAATGATTTAGTGCCTTAGTATGTCTCTCAAAAATAGATATGCGACCATCATTCCAACCTATAGCAAGTTATTCACCATTATTTTTAAAAGCTACAATTAATCTATCTATATTTCTATCTAAAACCTCATCATTCTAACCATTTCTTAAGTTATAGATATTCAAAGTTTTTTCTTTCCTATTATTTTTTAAAAGAATATAATCTTATTTATAATTGTTAAGGAATTCTTAAGATTTATCCAATTTAATGATTTTTACTTATTTTTCATAACGTTCTAAATCAATAACTCTTAATTAAGAGTTATAAAAATAGGTTATATATTTTATTCCAACCTAACCTAATTGGATAAAACTACTATTATAGTCATTCAAATCAACTTTAAGATGAATAAAAACTTCCTTAATAGGCTATCTATGTTCATTTACAAAATCTTCGACTTTATATAATTATAAAAGACTCGAATCTTTATAGCATACATAAATATAGCCATTTTTTTAATCTAATTCAAAAAAATCATATTCTTTATCAATTTTTATGATAATATATTTATCAATATTATGATATCCATAAAACCTTTCATCTTTCTATATATGAATAGTTTCAATAATTTCTTTTGATTTTACATTTAAAATATTAATTTTATCCAATTTGCCATCCTATTATTTTTGAAATAAGGCAATTTTAGAACCATTTGAATAAACATAATGTCTAACACTTTTGTATTCTTCAAGATTTACAATTTATTTATAAAATAACTCATAACTTTTGAAATCTTTCAAATCATAAACAAAAAATTCACCTACAGACTAAATTGTAATTCCAATAGAGTTATTTAATTTTACAAAATCGCATTTATTGTATAAGTGCCAACCAAAAGTTTAAGAAAAAGAACACTACAATAAGAAATTTTATTTTCTTATATTTGGATCTTTAATAATTAATTTATCTTCATTTTCCAAATTCCATACTATAATTTGATCAGTATCTCTAGATATCATATATTTTTCATCTTCAGAAAAACCTATAAAAAAGATAATCTTTTTATGACCTTTAAACTATTTTAAGTAATCGTTACTTTTAATCATCCATATCGTAATCGAATAATCCTCTTTTGATACAGTATAATATTTAGTTTCATTAGGGCAAATGCCAGAATATTGAATTTTTTGGTTATTATTATGAAGTGTTGTATCATAGATACCCTGTTAAAATTCCTTTATGTCATATAAACATAATATATTATTTTAAATTTCTGAAATAAACCATTGTTTATTCAACATTTTTTTTTTTTAAGGTTTAAGGATAGGTATTTTAAAAAGATTTTTTACATCACTTAAATCTGATACATCCCAACAATTTAGATAATATTCAAGTTTTCTTAATCCATAATTTTAATATTATAAAAGAGAAGATTCTTATTTATTAAAACTTATTAAATAATTGCTTTCTGGTAAAACTGATATATTGTATTATCCTTCTAATTTTTCAAGATTATATTTGGAGTGACGATTGGATAAACTCTAAAATATTACCTTTTTATTTTATTCATATATTATATATTGTCCATCACTTGTAAATTATGGATTATAAGCATTAAAATCATAATCTTCTGGATTATACAATTCAATATTTATTTCTGGTTTAGAAATTTAAATAATTGATTTTTCAATTTTAGCTATATCTAAATTTGATGATGCTCGTGTACTAACATTATATCTACCTTTAATTTTCTTAATTTAATTTTCTTAGCACTATATTATTTGAATATCATTAGAAGAAATAGCTAATATTTAATTAGGATTTTATAAAAATCTAAGGTCAAATAGATCTTATTTATAATCAAAATTATATATATTTTTGATATTATCTTACCAATCGTAATATTATATTTAATTATTATTAATTATGGCAAAATACTTCGAATCAATTGAGGTGCAAAAGAATTTTGCTTTAAGCATTAGTTAAAGTTAAGGCCTATAAAGTGATGTAAAATAGATTAGATCATCAATTTTTAATGCTATCAATTTATCATTGTGATTTAATCTAGTGTCTTCATATTTTTAATTATTTCCAAAATAGATATTAATAGAATATATTGATTATTCTTCTACATTCAATTTATATTAATAAAGGCCATCTTAACTTTGAATAATAATTTATTAATTATCTGAAATTTGAATATCTTTGATTTCGATTTCAATAAATAATTTTGATATTTATATTATTTATGCTCCTTCAGTAATATAATAAATAGTAATTTCTTAATTATAAGTTGATGCTAGGAAATAACCACTATTTGATAAAGTAAAATGATGTAACTTTACTTAAATTTACTTTTTAATAGTTTCAGTTGTAAATTTTTATTCTGGTAGTATATGAATAACCTATATATCATCTTTTGTTTCAACTGCAATTAACAAATACTCTCGTTCTCTTATTGCTCGTTCTCTTATTGCAAATGCACAATATTTTAATTTTCGGATTACTTACATATCACTTACATTTTTAATTTCTAAAATATTAGAAGACTCTTCAGAAAATATGATATATTTTTCGTTAACAAATTCTATTTTCTTATATTTTTCATTGAAAATTACAACTTTAGTTTAATCATCATTAATAAAAGGTTTAAGAATAATATTTTCTCCTTATTTGACAGCCAAGTATTATTTAATATAATTATAGTTTCCTAGAGGTAAGGGATAGACCATGATCATTTATTATTAAAAAATACCATTATGAACACCATATTCAAAATCATAATATTTAAAAACTTAAACTATTAAATCTTATGAGTCTATATTCCAAATAATTTTATACCAAATAATTGAAGTTAAAGTCTAAATAATGAGTACATCATCCTTCACAAATAACAAGTCAAGACATTTTTAATTGTTTATCATATAATTTTTTTTTTTTTTTTTTTAATCATCAAGACTATATATAACAATAGAATAATCTTTACTACAAGAAGCAAGATATTAATATGTTTCACTAAACATAATTAAATAAATGTCTTTTTCTTGTATCTATTCAAGTTAGGTTTGATCATCATTTTATAAATCTTTAATTGTAATAATATTATCAACACAGTAACAGATTTTTTTCCCATAATTACATAAAGCATAACAACCAATTTTTTGATCCTCTGAAAATTTATAATCTTTAATCAGATGATATTCTATTTGATTCTCAAATATTAAGACCTTATAAATATTAATCTAGTTCTCATTCTCATCCTAAACAGCAACTTTGCATGTTCCTTCATTCTCATTATAATTATATGATTATTTCAAATTTTACACAAATCCTTTAATAGATCCTTGAAGAACACGGCTTCTACTAAATGGATACTATTTTCTAAAGGGATATATAAAATTGCTAACAAAATTTTATACTTCATTCTAATAATATGAAAATATAGACCAAAACCTAATTGTATTATCTTTGTTATAAGTAATCATAAGGTCATGATTGATAATATCCATAGACAATGGTTGACATTAATTTAGTGGAATTTTACCTATAAAGATGTTAAGATATTCATAAACCTCAATACAATCTTCCTTAGCAATGAATAATAATCTAAACTATCCATAATTAATAAAGGCTATGCAATTTGAATCACAATATGTTATGTCTTCTAATTTATTGATTTAATTTAGATCATATAATACTATATATTCATTTATGATATAAACTAAATGTTTTTTATTAAAAATTGAATATCTTGGTAATTAGTCATTAATCTTTTGTGAATGTAATGCTTTGACTTATTTGTATCCATAACCATCATCATTAAGCCATACAATTACTTAGTCTTCACTAGCTGATATGAGTAATGAAATTGGTCTACCCTTGTCGTTAAAAGTTTCTTCAGAAAGTGATACTATTTCACTTTAGTGATACTTTTTTGTGATTGTTTTTGGGATGTTTTTGATGATCCCATCCCAAATCTTTATTTCTCTGTCTTTTGTTCCTATCAGTATTTTACCATTGGATATTACCTTTATAGAAGTTAATTTAATTGAATTATCAGCAATTTTTGATTTATTCCATTCATGTTTGGATTTGAGATTATAACTATAAAAATTTAAATTTTTACGATATACTAATTTCTCTTCCTTATTGTAAAAAGTAAATGGATAATTTCTCGGTTACAGTTGACCTACTTATAATGGAATAGTTATTAATAATGTTATATCGGTCCCATAAATACAGTAAATCTATAAAAATGTCTCAGGACATAGGTAAAATTTAGTTGAATCTGATGAAAACTCCCAATATTTTAAATTTTGATTATATTTTATTTTCTTTAATATTTTTTGAGTGATTAATTCCCATATATTTACTTAAGATGAGCCCTATGATGAGCCCTAAGATGAGCTATAAGAAAGTAAGAATTAACCATTTGGTGAGAATAATATACTACTCACATTTTCTTAATGTTAGTCTCTGAAAACTATAACTTCATTCCAAGGTGTTTAAGTCCATTTTACTCTTTATAAACTGGTATTATTAAAATTGCAATAATCAATTTTTACTTCATTAAACTCAGATTCATCCAAATTACTTCCATATACATTTAGACCAGAGATATTAGTCTTACTTAATTTAATTCTACTTAAATCTTCCCCTATTAGTTCTATTCTCAAGAATTTTAATAATAATATACTATTAGAAGCTGCTCTAATAAATACTTCTTCTCTTGATAGGATTATTATTTTTAACAAGATTTTTTTGATATCTTCATAATTTAATAATTCAGGTTATATATCATTAATTACCTAAGAGAACTACTAAAGAGATAAATTAAATTCGTTTTAATTAAATTAACTCTGTTCTAAACCTTACTCAATTGATTTTCCTGTAAAATTTCTTGAAAAATCTTTTAACAATTTTAAAATATATTTTCCTACAAAATACTCCTAAATTGATTTATTCTGAAACATGAAGCTACCATTTTAAATCTTAGTAATAAAGGTTGAATATAGTAAAATGAGATTTTTTGTATCTTCTAAATTATTTTAGTTTAAATAAGATTAAAATATATTCTAGACTTATTAAGTGTCTAATAACAAGCATTCATGTTTAATCATTTTTACAGCTAAAAACATTTATAATTTATTTAGTTCCTTTTTAAAACTTTCATTTATGTTATTGAATCCTGAGTCTTTTAATTTGTTTATATATATTTCATAATACTTAGACACAAATAATTTATATATTTGATATTTAGTTAATTAAGTTTATTTTGCAGCATTTTTAATTAGATTAAAATCGACCTCTGAAATTTACATAATATTTTTATCTAATTTTTCAACTAAAAAATCATCAAAAAATTAATTACACTTAAACCTATTTTTTCTATACAATTTGTTTGTAATATTTTAATTTAAATTTGGTAAGATTTAAAGAATAACTTAGAGTATTTAAATAGTTTAAATCAAATCGAAAATTTGATTTTCTTTAATAATTTTCATCAGTTTACTAGAGCTCTATAACTTTGATAATTCTTCTTTCTAATGATTCGATGGAGTATTTTTATTTTGAAATATTTTTTATTATTTGCTAAGAAAATTATTGATAAGAGAATCAGCGAAAATAATTTCATAATTATCATTATTAGTTTATTTTACAAGAGTTTTAACTTCTTCAAAAAAGTATGCTTGCCAATATTCATTAAACATTATTCTAGAAATTTTAGAGTTTTTTTCTTAATCTACAAAATCTTTATAGATATTATATAAATATTATCTAGTATTTTCTATGCAGTATTATTTAAGATATTCATTAATTTAATTATCATCTAAATTTAGTATTTCAACTTCAGTCAAATTTAAAAATTATAAACCTATAAATTACTTTTCAATTTAAACTTCTCTTCTTGATGTAATAATTATTTTTACATTTTTACCTAATTTTTTTTAGAATAAACTGATATCTAAGTTTACTTCTTAAATTTAATGTTTCATTTCATCTAACCCATCAAATAGTAGAACAATATTTACTAATCCATTCTCTAAGTCATCACTAAGAATTCCAATAAATTCATTTCTAAATTCCATATCATCCGCATTTAATATTAAATTCCAAATATTATTATTATTCAACTTTTTTAAAGCATCTAATGAAATGAGAAATGGAATCCATTTTTTTTATTTTGAATGTGAATAATAGTGTTTCAATAAAAATAATTATAATCGCTTTAAAAAATAACTCTTACCTGATCCTGCTATGCCTTTTATCCATAGAACATCAGTATTATTGTTTTCAGTCCAAAGAAAATCATTAACTATATATATCTATTCTTATTTAACACATTATTCTACATCTTCCCTAAATAAATAGCTGGACTTATTTGATTGTTATTGTTTTTTTACATCATCATTATTTATGCTACATTAGACTTTTAAATCAATATTAATAAAATCCTCTTATAATTTTTCTATTTGTGTATTTCCATATATTTTATATAGATAAGTTTATTAATTTTATTCTAGGTTTTGTTCAAAAGCTTCTTCAATAACATTAAGTTGTTCATTTTTTAAGACACTTATTGTATTTTCATCTTAATCACTATTAAAAAATAGATCAATAAATTTTTGGCATGCTGATTCTACATTTTTTGCTATTTAACTTTTTTTAATTGTCATAAAACTAAATGCTAAATAACATTTAATCGTGGAGTCCCATTTTGACTTAATATAATGTTCCCATATATTAATATTATCTTCAATCTAAAATTCTATCAATTGATTTTATAGTTCATTTAACATTATGTTTGTGATATCAGCCCCTTCAACTTTTTGCAAATCTTCTAAAAAACTATTTTTTTATGAAATTAACTCAAGAAGCATTTAAAGAAACCCTAAGTGTACTCTCCAATTTTAATTATTTTGAATACATAATTGATAGACTTTGCATAAATAATTAATAATTTATTAGATTTCTATAATCTATTATGAATTTAACAGTTTTCTAATTATTGTTAATTTTGATTATTAAAAAAAGTAAAATATATCTAATTATCTAGGGTTATCACTTTATAGAAATTTTTTTGCATCTTAAAGTAAAGTATTATTTCCATCATTTTACTGTTGATATTTATTTTATTCGAAAATACATTTCTATAAGTTGTATGCATTTCTATCTTATATATGATCAACGACATCTTTTATCAAACAAAATTAGTAATTAAAAAGTATTTCTAAACCTTTTTATTAATGATATTTTTAATTAATTAATTATAATTTATCTGAAAAAATGTGCAAATTTTTAATTATATTACTTTTAATAACCTTATCTTGATAGTAAAGAATTTCAAATAGATTTTGAGTAAATTATAGCAAATTATAAGATAGCTGTATAGGTGTATTTATTACACATGATAATAAAATGTCAATAGATTCCATAATTATAGCAATTTTTCTTTCATCTAGCCTACATTAATTAGATAACTAATTAATAATTCCTTTCGAATTTAACCATTAGACCACTTTTTCTAATTAATCCCTCTCATTTTAGTTTATTTAATTTCCCAATATTCTTTGAAGAAGAATAGTGTGATATTTTAAATATTAGAAAATATCTTATTCATCAAAAATATCATTTAGATTACTATTCTATTAAATTTGGGGATTCAATTAAATTTGTAGCTTAATCCCCCAATTTCCTCCTCCTCTTAATTTATTAATGTTATTTTGAAAGGTGTAAGATTAATTAATTTAATTGTATAAAATTGATTGATGATCATTATTTGATTCATTAAGGAAATTCAGCCTTGAATTTTCTTTATCAAAGCTTTAAGAAATAGGATTCTAATAATTTTTTTTCATTTTTTAGATATATTAAATAATGTGCCAAGAATATTAATTATTATTTTTCTATCCCTGATTTTAATTAAAAATTTAAGAAATATCTTAATTAATTTTCTTTGTTTATTATTAATCATGCTATTAATGATTTGCTTATTTAATAGAATTGATGATTTTATAACAATTATGTTTGAAAAAACTAGTATCGTATTGGATTAACTGTAATATTTTTTGTCATGATAATAATATAATCATATTATATAAAATTCGAAGATTTGATATAGTATTGGAATTTGTGAGAAAATGTAAATATTAATGAATTGCAATTGCAATTAAAGGAAATATTTCATTGATAGTTATTAACAATAATTACTTCATTCTCCTAAATCTTTATATTCTAATGCTCTTGTTAAGGGTAATGTTTGAGGATAAACCTTTTCTTATTCTAATTCAATTTTGATGTCTCCTAAATATAATTCATTATATTCTTCAATTGACATAAATCTTTTATGTAGTAACATGTTGATATCATCCAAAGTAATGGGAACATCATTAGCTATTTTATTTTATTATTTATCTTTTTAAGTTCTTGCACTGTGTTTAATTCCAGCATTACAAACTTATTAATATAATTCCCAAACTCTTTCTTAACATTAAGCTTCTGTTTTATCCATGTCTGATAATTGAGGACCGGTTTAAAACAAGTTTTCACAATACCACCTATCAAAACATCTAGTAGGATTGTCTTCATTCACAGTTACAATATTAATCATGCTATAAATGTTCTTTTCTTTTCTATACTCAGCATATAGATTACGCATCCAAAGATTCATAACATGTGATTAAGTTTCTACTAGATGCAAACTAAAAAGACCTCGAATTAAAAGAAATCCAGAAATTTAACCTTGAGTGTCACTCAATTCTTTAATCTATAATCTAAAGATAATATAACTTATTTAGTCAAAACTTATTCAACATCAATTTTTTGAATAGCGCTTTCACTAAAGTAAGTAGCATAAACCATTCTACTAATTGGCACTTGCTTTTCCTCTCTTTTTTCCTTAACAATATCATATAATGAGAGTCTTTATTCAACTTGAATTTCTTAATTCATATATAATTAATAATATAATATTGATAATGAATAAAATGGAACGATATCGTAAAGTCTTTAAATATAATTTATTAAAGTTATAATTTTTATAAGACTTCTTCATTTAGCATATGAAGCTAATAAATAGACCGGCATTTTTTATTATTATTTATTGCCATGTTCTTCTAATGAAATAAACGAAGATCAATCTCAAATGATGATTCCAGTATTTCTATAAATACAAGATAATTTCTATTAAAAAAACTATAAACAAACTAAAATAAAGTCTTTTCAATGTTATTTTAACAAATCTTTTTTTCCCTCGTCAATCACATTAAGCTATTGTGTTTTCATACTTAATCAAATGTTGGCTTTGTTAATTTTCTATTATTAAATAATCTGTAAAATTATATATTATATCAATAATTTCTTTCATTTTATTATTTATGGAAACTATTAATATTATAGTTTAAATAGTCCAATTAATAAACTAAACTCTTATTATAATAAGTATTCTCAAATTTAGGAAATTAAATACTTGATAATTTAGTATATGATGTATATCTTATTTTCTCTTAATTTCTTAATAATTAGATAACTAAGATATTATTGTATTTAAATAAAAACTCTTCATAAACCATACATAATTAATTCATATTGGTAGGTTTAACTAAAATTTTTATAAAAATTTATCAATAATTAAAAGTCTAAAATTAAGTCATATTAAATATATATACAGAAAAAATAACTAAAATTTGATCCTAATACTTATATTTTAAGATCACCCTTTCATTCTATTGTTTAAACTTTGGCTAAATTAATGAAAATATTATAATGTGAATAATGGAATATAAAATTTATAGCGTTATTTAAATTAATAAATGTTTATGCAGAATACAAGAAATGTTTTTGTATATTAATGTTATTGAATTGAAAACAAGATATACTCCTTTGCAAATATTATAATAAATTGTATTTGACTTGTTGAATGTTTTATATTTTCTAATTTAATTATGTGTAGGTTTATAATTGAGTATAACGAGTATGATCGTTTAGTTAGTATTAAATATCATTTTAGAGGTTAGAATGCATAATATTGAAATGATGATTTTTATGAATTAAAATGTAATCTTACGAGAAAGCATTATTTAATGTACAAGTTATAAGAAAACACTTCTTTAAAGATAGGGTTTACTAATTATATTTATTTGCTGATGAATTAATGATGACTGATGTAACTTGATCATTAAATTAGGATCCGACTAAAAATCCAAAATACATATTGAAAACAAATTTAACAACTACAATAAAGTGGATATGCGAAAATAAAAGGATAGTGGCTTTTGAATTTTCTTATAACGGAAGATTAAAAGAAGTCTATGGACCCAAATTGAATCTTCTTAAGGAGATGCTAGCTGGAAAAGTATTTTTCAGTCCTGTGTCTGCATTTTACTAATTCCATATGGAAATAGGTAGTGGAATGACAGGATCAGTTTATAGGTGTATTTCTACAGAAAACTATGAAAACTATTTTGCAATAAAAAAAGTAGACAAGATGAAAATAACTTAAAATGATGGAGCAATAGTATTTATTCAATAAATTATAGCCTCAACTAATACATGAGCTCAGTTTATTGAACTAATTATAGCATCCAAGTATTGTAAAATTGAAAGAAACATATGTTGATGAATAAAACTATTATATAGTAATGGAATACATAAATGGGAAGACTTTATATGCAGAATTATAGAGTAGACATTATGGACTCTCAGTTAATGAAACGATTAAGATAATGAAAGTATAGTTTGAATTGAATTTTAGGAATTGTTGTAGGCAATAATATATATTCACAACAAGGGAATAATGCATAGAGATATTAACCCTTTGAATATTATGAAAGCTGAAACTGTAAAGTTGATTGATTTTGGATTGGCACGAAAGATAAGGAATTAGTTAATATTTCCAACTTCAGGAACTCCAGGATATATGGCTCCTGAAATTATAAATTTCAATAAAGACAAACTATATGACGAGAAGGCAGATATATTTAGTCTTGGTTGTGTTTTGTATAAATTGTATGTATTACCAATTAAATAAAGGTTGACAGGAGAGAACCTATTTACTACTAAACAGGGTAAATAGACTATATATTAATCTAATAAAGAAGGAGTTTTTGAATTGAAAAAGCAATAGTAACATCCTGAATGTAATTCAAATAAAATGGATTAATTATTTGTATAAAATATGAATATAAATAGATTTTACTACCTCATATGTTGGAAACTAATCCATTGTTGAGATTAAATGCAAAAGTTTGTCTGACAATTCTTGAAGAGATTGAAAACAACAATCTTTATATTGAAAGATTAATTAAAAAAATCTTGATTAGAAAATAATTAGCCTTTAATACATCAGAAGAATAATAGTTAGATAAAAAGAGTGAAGAGAAATTGTAAAAATGTAAGTTTAGACAATCAATTGATGTCTAATCAAAAAAGAGCTTGGATGAAATTTCTGTGTTTTCTAAAAATGTCATGTTACAAAATTAATAAAGGGTTATACTTGCTTAAAAGAAATAGCCTTGATATGTTTATGTTTCTTTTGTATTTCAAAATATTAAGTGTTAATTTTATTTATGTTACCATTTAATATGTATATATCTCAAAAGAATACATCTTCATCAGGTTATTCTTCTGCCAACATATCATAACTCTCTCTCTCTTACCAATTCATATCCTCTACTTCTAATTATCTTTTAGCTGTTTCTTAATTTTGCTTTTCAATTATTTTTCTCTTGTTATCAAGCACTTTCTTCAATCTAATTCATAATTCTAAACTAAACCTGAAAAAATCTTCTTTTGACATTTCATCCAATTCCATATCAATGTAATTCATAGTAGCTATGAATCTAGGGATGACGACATATTCAAGAGCATTGACTCTTCGATTTGTAACTTTAATAACTTGATCTAATGAAACAAAAGAAGTCTTTAAATATTATATATTTTCTTACTTAATATGATGCAATTTTAACAAGAAGTATTAACAAATCCTTAAACTTATCTCTGCATCTTTGAATAGATTGACCACCTCTGGCCAAACCTATTTGACTCATACTTGAATCTGAATCATCAACTTCTCTAATATTTACTTCAGGCAACATGACACCTGCAATGTTTTCACTTGAGATTTCCAATCTAATTGTTGCTCTCTTTACAGCATCCTTAACATTTTAGCTATTTTTAATACTCATAATACTGGAATTCGCCTGCAGCATATTAAGCTTTTGCGATTAATAATAAAGCTTCTTATGCTTCGTCACCCATAAATTTCTTGTTCTCCAATAAAGCAACCATCACTATTCTGAACTTAGTTTTCAAAGCATCACATTTCTTCTTTAACAATTCATGACCCTTCTTTGCTGAGACAATCTTAGCCTTGTACAAAGCTAAGTTCATTCTACTAGGAACCACTTGTTCTGCCATTTTTTAATATCAATTTTAATAAAATTAATTATATTTATATAAATATCCTTCATAAATAGAAGATTTAAAGTTCATATAACGCATCTAAGAATAAGTTTTTTAGAATTTAAGAATAATAAAGATTATTTATAATTTATTGTAAATAATAACATTATCTTAACTGTTACCCATACATGATAAAATTTATAATAATTTATATATATATAGATAGCAAAAATTCAGTAAAACTTCTGTTTTAATAAATGAATTGTTGAATATGAATCTTTCCTCATTTTAGTAGGTTTTTTAATTTGGTTTTTAGTGGTTTAAGGTAAGAAAGTTGGACATTTTTTTGGTTTAAATGGACACTCCACACTTTATCTCTATTATTGTATAGCCTCCCTCACTTTGATAGTTTATTTTACTTAATTTAACCAACGAATTTGTCTGTCATAAAAGACAAAGTTTTTTGGGGATGAATAAGTAGATTTATGTTTTGAGCTACTGTTAACAAAATTTTAATTTTTTTCTGGAGAGCCTTAGAGTGTATTGAAATTGGTATCAATTGAAATCAAAGCTCTTCTTGTTTGTTTCTTTTGTTTTTATGCCTATAGAAGATTAGAGAAATTTTAGAATGGGTCCACAACGTTTTCTTATTTTTATGACTGTGGAATCTGATTTGGTTAGTAGTTTTCAGTTTCTCTATTCTAAAAGCTATCTTCTCCTTGAATAATGTAATCATGAGCTATTTCATATAAAGCAGACCGAAGCATTAATTTAACAACTATTTATTAATATTATGGGATGTCTTTTCGGAAAATAAGAATAAACGCAAAACAGATATCAGATGAAGGAATATGACAAATTTAAAGTTCTGCAATTAAGTATAATGAATGGTTAATATCATCTAAGTTCAAAGTAGTGAAGAGATGTTTTTAATTTTTAATCTTTAGGTATATTTATTACTAAATAGGGTGCATGGTATATGAAATATTTAAACTTGTAGGAATCACTGGATTTATTAGAAATGTGATGGCAAACTTCTTTAATTTTTAAGTAATTACAAAATCATTACATTGTTTCTTAGGTTAAGTACATTAAGATCAGCAGATATTGTCACAATTATTTCCAATAAACAAACACAATTTTAAATTAGTAGTAATAAATGCAAAATACATATCAAGCTGAGCAATTTGCCTAAGCCTTTGTTTTACTAAATAATATAATCTGATGAAGCTTTTTTAAAAAAGAACATGATCAATAAAGAAGAAGTATTTAATGAACAATACTCATGTTTTGATGAATCTGATATTGAAATGGAATAAGAGCCAGAAATTGATCTAGCAAATCAATCATTAGACCTTTCTGATATTGACAATAATAACAATAATGTATCTCCAATAAAGAAGGCCAATTTTGATGATGATAAAATTAATCATTAAAAGTTAATCTTAGATTACTTGGATCATTTTTGTCCTCAAACAGAAGACTAATATTATAAATGGTTAATAAGCGAAAAAGTAATTTAATATCTCCAACAATCATTATATATCAATTTATGGTTTAATAGATTGGATATAGAAGAAAAATTTGTTTGGCAGAAAACTAATAATAATTAATTTGTGAAAAGAAGGTTTTAATTGATTGAAAACAAATTGCTCATTCTTTTAGGTTCAGAAAATTAGGATATTATTGGTATTTAATAATATAATTATAAGAACTAATCCCTTTAATATATTCAAATATACAAGAAGTTTAAAAACAATAATATATAAATAAATTTGGAATCTCTATTAAATGTGATAAAATAAAGATAGATGTCTAATTGTTTTTCGATAGTCTAATAGAATTGCATTAACTTTATTGTCCTTATTCTTAAAAATATTAAATTCTAAATAAAAATAATAAATCACATTTTGAATGTGTTAACAAATCATTAGGATTAAAATTATCAATACAACAATTCTAAGTTGATAATAATTCTATTTCAAATTTAATAATTCATGATTCATTATCTAATTTTAAAGGAGTAATTAAATGTCATGAAATTCAATTTGAAAATAACACAAATATATACTAAATTTGTGAAAATATCCCATTTACACTAGATGAATATCTATAATAAATTAAGCAATTAAGTGGTATTTCAGTTTTTATATGTTTAGAATTCCAAATCAGATTGATTGCCAAATAATTCCTGGTTATATTTAATTATATTCATATGATGGGAGTAATAATTGTTTGCTTGAATCCTAATTAAATAGGAGTAATTCCAAATAAATAAGAGCCAGATTCAATTGAGAAGATCGCCATTTGCAACTTCAACTATTCCACCTACTAATTTAAACTTTATAATTAACAAAAATTATCTGAATTTGCGGCACCTGAAGTAACAACTGGATAAATATTTGACGAATCAGTCGATTCCTATTTATTATATAAATTATTGATGTTTATAATAAGAGGATAGCAGTTATCCCCAAACTTTAAGGATTTGTTGAGTAAATTGGAGAAGAGAGTTCCAATTGAAAAGGTCCTGTAACATGATGTATTTAAAGATGAAACAATAACTACAAAAGCAATTGAAAACATGGTTATATTAAAGAACTGATTAATTAAAATGAATAAAATACAGCAGATATATTATAAAATCAATCTTTTTTAAAATCTAATTTCTCCAAATATTCTTATTTCTACCTTTTTTTAAGATAATGAGCAATAAGTTATGTGTAAAACACATAATTGAATTAATTTGTTTATATTAAATTAAAATAATTAAATGAATAACAACTCATATTAATCATATAAACCATATTCTAGAGTTCAGCAATAAACCTATAATAATACTTAGATCCTTTCATATGTTGAGTAGGTTCTCCAAAAATCTAGAACTAATTACAATTAACACAAGTAGCCAGAATCAAATCTCAAACCTAATTCAAATTAACAAAATATCAATACTGATCCTGATTGTAAAAATATTATACATTCACCCAAAATAAAACCATAAGAATTGATCATTGCTTAGAAATAAGACATCACTCCTAAAAAAAATATTCCCCTTCATCAATCTTAATAACTTATCGATAGACAGCCATTAATTCCGTTAATTCCGCTTATGTAAAATTTAAAAGAATAGTATAAATAAGTACACTTAATTCTTAAATTAGAAATAAGCCTTATTATAACAGTCACCACCCAAAAGGCAAGAAGATCGCTTTAAGAATTTTAAAATACTAAAGAAACTTGGAGATGGAAAATATAGCGAAGTTTTTCTAGCCATGCATTAATAAACAGGATTTTTAGTAGCTTTAAAAGTTATTCAAAAAAAATAAATGGTTGAAGAAATAATGGAAGCTTAATTGGCTTGGGAGATTAAAATTCAATATCTACTTGATCATCCAAATATCACTAAATTGTATACATTTTTTTAAACTTGTAATTAAATTTTTTATTATTTATTTAGAAACTGAAATTGTTTTGGTTTTAGAGTATTGTTCACATGGCCAATTGCTTAGTCTCCTCTAAAAATAACCTAATTAAAAGTTCTAAGAAAAAGAGGCATCAAATTATGTCCATTAAATAACTTTTGCATTGATGTACATACATAATAATGATGTTATACATCGAGATATTAAACCAGATAATATCCTCTTAAGTTTTGGCTAAGCAAAAATTGCTGACTTTTCATTTTGTGTCTACTCTCCTCATGCTTATAGATAAACATAATGTGGGACTATCATATATGCTTCACCCGAAATCCTAGAAGGAGATATGTACGATAAAAAAAGCGATATTTGGGGTCTGGGTGTCTTAACTTATGAATTATGTTTCGGTAAACCTCCTTGGAAAGAGCACTAACAAGAATTAATGAAAACTGTAAGTCTCATTTTACAACTATTATTTAGGCATGCTTTTTAATACCCTCTTCCGCATCTAAGGAGTTAAGAGAATTTATCGAAAGTTTAGTTAAAAGATTATCCAGAGAAAGATTAACTGCTAAATAAGCTTATAACCACTCTTGGTTATAATAAGCTTAATAAATACTGCCGCAATTTATTCAAGAAAATATTATGATATTTAATTGATGTTTTAACTAAGTCTTTACAAAAATATAAATTTCATAAGTTGTCCATCAATTAGCTCTTTTTAATTTATTTTATTCTTTCATGTTCTCTTAAATGGTTTGGTAAATCCTGTCATTCCTGATTTATATATTTTCTTTAATTAAGTATTTGCATTTTACACTTCGCATTTATGCAATTTATGATTAGTTCATTATTTTCAAGAACTAAAGTTCCAAGATAAAATTTATGTACTTTTGAGGAACCTACAAATCTAATTTATTTTATTTAACTATCGATCTTGATTAGGAGTATCAATTATCATATATTTGCAATGTTAATTGAGTTTGATTTCTTAGTTTCTGATTTTTATAAAGAAGATAATGAATAAATATGCTTTTTCTTATGATGCTTTCGATTTCTTTTCGATTGTTTTCATTTTTCAATTTTTTTAATTTTTATAATCATCTAGCAATTTAATTTCCTTAAAATATAGCGTAATTAACTTTAATATGAACAACTATAATTTATGACAACTTATAAAATTTTGGCTTTACCTGGATGGGAAAATGATGGATTCATTTTGAAAAAACACATGGGAGATTTACATAATTTGATCTCTAAATATGTAGAAATTGAATATCTAGATCCTCCCTATGATGTCTCAAAAAGTATGTTTCCTCTTCCACCTTTATTAGACACTTAAGGAAGTAATCAGATCTAATTAATGTATAGGAAAAGTTTATAGATGGGGGAATTACTATTTAGACATGTCAGACGACATTGAAAAAATAAAAAATAGAATTCTTTAAAATCCAAAGATTATCGGGTTGATGGGATTCTCATAAGGGGTCTTTATAATTGGAGAAATCGGATAACTAGCTCATACAGATTTACAATTAGCTAAATAACTTAGGTTTCTGATTTGCTTTTCATCTAATGGAATTAAACCTAAAAAAATTCACTATGATAAGAAAAATCTAATTACTATACCTACACTTCAAACTATAGGTTCAAAGGATTTTGCTTACTTAGAATCAATTATTTAAACAACAGAATATTTGAATTCTCAAGTTATTTGGACAGAAGCAAGTATTTTAGAATGCTAAATTTAGCTCATAGAGTACCAATTTTAAATTATGATTAGAAAATTGAGTTAGCAAATTTTATTTCTAATAAATTAGATCAACCTAAATTATGAATAAATAGAAAATAATGTGTATGTATATATATAGTAATCAATTCACCCTAATTTTGCTATATTAGTTATTTCCATTTCATTCAAAAATTTAATAATATATATATATATTTTTAATTAGCATATAATAAACTTCATATCATTATATATGCAAGGCCCCTGTTAAGATGTTATAATTTTTGTATTTAGGTCTCAGCTATTGGAATGAGGAATCTATTATCTCAATTGGCTGAGGTAGAGATTTCTTTGACTGTTTTGATTTTGGAGTTTATGTTTTACTTTGATGTATATAAGAGTATCCAGGACCTTCTTGATGAAGGGGATTGATAAATTATTTAGATTTCTTTGATTATTTTGATTGTTTGGAAGATTATGAGAGTGGTGTCTTTAAAGGTGTTTAAACAGGTTATTATGGTCTTATAACTTGATTAGAAATTTGATTTGCATTATAAGTTTACTCTTATTGGAGTTACTACTATTACAATTTCTAATATTTCATCAAATCCTAATCGAGCAGATGCAATTATTTATTCCTTTCTTATGCTTAATAGTTGTCTGAATATATATGAGGGAGTTTATGTTGACTGTTATCAGATAATTTAATATTATATGACTCCAAGGATGAACTATGGCCGATTTATCTTCTTTAGTTTGATAATTCATAATTATCATTCTCATATAACTTATGCATATTGTAGTCCTTTAATTTGTTTTCGAATATCTTTTGCTTTTCAAAAGCAATTTTCTATTCCACTCTTAATCTTTCTTCTTGTTTTTTGGCTTGAATTTCTAGTATTTTTCTTTTCTTTTCCTCTAATTACTTATTTAATTCAATTTAATATGATTATGCCTCTCCTCTCTAAACTTAAACTAATTAATCTGGATCAGTTTCTTGAACTTTCAATAACTTAGATTTGATTGATNTAAGGGGTCTTTATAATTGGAGAAATCGGATAACTAGCTCATACAGATTTACAATTAGCTAAATAACTTAGGTTTCTGATTTGCTTTTCATCTAATGGAATTAAACCTAAAAAAATTCACTATGATAAGAAAAATCTAATTACTATACCTACACTTCAAACTATAGGTTCAAAGGATTTTGCTTACTTAGAATCAATTATTTAAACAACAGAATATTTGAATTCTCAAGTTATTTGGACAGAAGCAAGTATTTTAGAATGCTAAATTTAGCTCATAGAGTACCAATTTTAAATTATGATTAGAAAATTGAGTTAGCAAATTTTATTTCTAATAAATTAGATCAACCTAAATTATGAATAAATAGAAAATAATGTGTATGTATATATATAGTAATCAATTCACCCTAATTTTGCTATATTAGTTATTTCCATTTCATTCAAAAATTTAATAATATATATATATATTTTTAATTAGCATATAATAAACTTCATATCATTATATATGCAAGGCCCCTGTTAAGATGTTATAATTTTTGTATTTAGGTCTCAGCTATTGGAATGAGGAATCTATTATCTCAATTGGCTGAGGTAGAGATTTCTTTGACTGTTTTGATTTTGGAGTTTATGTTTTACTTTGATGTATATAAGAGTATCCAGGACCTTCTTGATGAAGGGGATTGATAAATTATTTAGATTTCTTTGATTATTTTGATTGTTTGGAAGATTATGAGAGTGGTGTCTTTAAAGGTGTTTAAACAGGTTATTATGGTCTTATAACTTGATTAGAAATTTGATTTGCATTATAAGTTTACTCTTATTGGAGTTACTACTATTACAATTTCTAATATTTCATCAAATCCTAATCGAGCAGATGCAATTATTTATTCCTTTCTTATGCTTAATAGTTGTCTGAATATATATGAGGGAGTTTATGTTGACTGTTATCAGATAATTTAATATTATATGACTCCAAGGATGAACTATGGCCGATTTATCTTCTTTAGTTTGATAATTCATAATTATCATTCTCATATAACTTATGCATATTGTAGTCCTTTAATTTGTTTTCGAATATCTTTTGCTTTTCAAAAGCAATTTTCTATTCCACTCTTAATCTTTCTTCTTGTTTTTTGGCTTGAATTTCTAGTATTTTTCTTTTCTTTTCCTCTAATTACTTATTTAATTCAATTTAATATGATTATGCCTCTCCTCTCTAAACTTAAACTAATTAATCTGGATCAGTTTCTTGAACTTTCAATAACTTAGATTTGATTGATTATTTTTAGTTCAATTTTTATTGGATGGCAAAATCATAATTTTCGCGTAATTTTTTAGAATCTTCATCTTTAAGGATTTTGATTCTTTCTAAACTTTTAATCTCCTTTAATTTTTCCTACTTAATGTCTTCTTATTCGAGTAATAGACTTTAATATGACCTCTCTTGATTCATTTTTTTTCGAATTAATAAATGATTGAGATTCTCTAAACTAGTTTCTATTTGCTTTATTTTTCTTTGTTCCATTTCTTTTAATTTCTTAGATTCTCTTTACCTAAGAGTTTCTAACATCAAAGATTCTAATTACTAGTCTTATTGATGTAAAATTATTCTTTTTTATTATTTCAATTTCATGTCTGTTTCCAATTCTTCTTTATACCTCTGTTTTCTCTACTATTAATCAAATTTTTATTGATTCTCATTTAATACTTTTTCAGCCATTTGTTTCTGAACTATCCCAGCCCATTAATGAGACAGTTATTAACTCATTCTAACACTTATTATAATTTTTATATAAAATGGTAAATAATTTAAAAGATTTCTTGGTAAAATTTATAAGAATATTTAATAATTTTAAAGATCATTTAAAAATTAGGATTGTATATTGAAATATATGATTTACGGTAAGAAAAAGTTATGATAATTTTATTATTTAATATATTAAATGAAAAAAATTGTTCTATGTTTATATAAATAATAATTATAACATTTTGAAAATTGAAATGTTAGAATTCATTATCTTTTCATATTAGCCATTATGTTTTCGTACCCAAATATGTGTAGTAATTAGCAATCTCTCAACAATAATCACAAAAATAATTGAGCGATCTTTTTATCATCAATAAATAAAAATAAAAAATCATATCGAAATAATAATTTATCCGAAGACCACATAAAAGAAGAATTAAACAATGCAGATATATTAGACAAAAAAGTAATAAGAACAATATCCAGTTCATTCATTCAAAAAATAATCATGTAAATTGTTTAACAATTAAGGAATAACTGAAAGGGACACTACTTAAATTTTATTTTTAAGGAGTAGGTTCTCAACATACTCAAATGTAAAATTATAACGAATACTCATTTAATATAAATTTCTTACCTAAACTTTAGTTCTCTAAAATTTCTGTAAAAACTTAAAAAATAAGGAAAGGAATTAAAGTTTATTTTAATGAGAGGCTCTGCATCGAATGTAATGTATATAATTTTGAATTCTGAATTTTACCATTTCTGAATTTGATGATTTACAAGGATGTAGAGTAAATTACTTAAAAATATTGAAATATTAGAAATACTTAAGTTCTTAATCCAAATTATTTAAAAATCGTGATTCATTTGAAATATTAATATATGAACAAAATATGTATATAAAAGATTAACATTGCTCAAATTGAAGTTTCATTATTAAATAATTGAGTATCATAATTTGTATTTAGCGATATATAGAATTTTTTTTGATTAATACAAAATATCAACTTAATTTATATTAGAAAATGTAGAAAATCCATGTTCTATAATATACAATTATAAAATTTTAAATTGATTTTTTTAATTAATATTAGTTAAGTATGAAGATTATTGTTACAATCACAACTATTCTATCTCTATCCTTATCATTTTAAATAGGGGCTCATGAATCAGATATTGTAGATAATATAATGTTGAATCAACTTTTTAATATTAACTACTAAGGAGATTTGTAAGATTCAATTTTAAGTTCTTAGGTATTCAGGATATTTAACAGCTGATAAAGAGGGAACAACTTAATTTTATTATTTATTTTATCCAGCTATAAATGATTCTCTAGAGAAACCTATAATATTATGGTTAAATGGAGGTCCTGGATGTTCATCTATTTAGGGGGCTTTTAATGAGAATGGTCCATTTGTATTTAAAGCTGGCACATCTGAATTTGAGTTGAACAAGTATTCATGGACAAATTTTGTATATATCTGACACAAACAACATTTAGGCTAACATGATATATCTTGAGTCGCCAATATCAGTTGGTTTTTCATTTGGCCCTTAAGTGGAATAGTCAGATGAATCAACTGCTAAATACAACCTTCAAGCCTTAATTGACTTTTTTAATAAGTTTCCTGAGTATAAAAAACTGCCATTTTTTCTTGCTGGAGAATCATTTGGTGGAGTATATGTGCCAACTTTAACAAAAGAAATTATTGATTATAATTCTCAATAAAGTGCTGATAGTAGAATAAATTTATAAGGATTGGCTATTGGTAATGGGTGCACTGATCCTACTGAATGTACACATGAAGCTTGGTAATTCTAAATTCATGTTTTTCACTAAGTTGGAAGGCATAATTTTATAAGTGAGGAATTATATGAAAAAGTAAGAAGTGTTGAAAAATAATGTATTGAAGTCAAAACTGATATTTGTACATAAATATCAAAAGAGGTTGAAGAGCAAATTATAGGAAAAGATTAAAAAATTAAAGCTAATCAATACAATATGTATGGACCCTGCTACACCTATACCCCCGAAGGAAGTAAAATGGCATAAAGGTTTTTTGGTATGAGATCATATACTGAAGATGCAGATATTCCAGCTTGTGCTGATATTTAAGGATTATATCATCATTTAAGATCGAATAAAGTTCGGAATGTATAATATGATTATATATGAGCTATTACATATAAAAGTCGAATCACCAGAATGGGAAGTATGCTCAAGAAAATTTGTTGATTATAAAGAAAATCCTAAAGGATCTTACTATTTATATAAAGAAATTCTAAAAAATTAAATTAGAGTCTTGATATATAGTGGTGATGTTGATGCTGTTGTTCCTGTTACAGGCACAATGTTTTGGATTAATAAATTGCAGACAGAATTATGTAACTTATTAATATCTATAATAACAGCTTTGTTAACTTTAAGTCCTTGGAGACCTTGGTATGTAGAGGGTAAGAGAGAAGTTGATCCAAATTAAAACGCTGGCTATGTCTTAGATTTAGATGGATTAACATTTATGACTATAAGAAATGCTGGTCATATGGTACCGCTAGATAAAAGAGAAGAGGCTGAAATATTTATGGAGAAGTTTGTAAAAAAAGAATTCTTTCCATGAAATAATTGATTTATTTAAGTTGTAGCTTATAAAAAGTCGATTGGTTCTTTATTAATTAAGATTATTCATTCATTTTTAGTGACTATAGATTCTTTAATTTTTCTCCTCTATTCTGATAGAACATGAATGTTATTTAGATAAAATTTTTTGAATTACTTATATTCATTTAAATGATTAAATACTATTATTTAGATATCAACAATAATTAAAGTATATTTGTGTCAAAAAAAAGAGACTTAACAATAATAAAATAAAGCAGAACAAATTAAAACTAAATTCAGGTATTGATTTGTGGAATTAATATCCTTATTTCTAGGTATTTTTTGACCATAGTGAGAACCTTAAATTTAATAAATATATCTCTATTAATAAGTGTAAAGTATCTATCTTAACTTTATTGGGAATATCTATTTCAGTAATAATATAATTTTCATTTTATTTATTTACTTGCTCTTCTTTACATTAACATTTCCTATTAAAAAACTAATGATTACAAATTGAACTAAATTAATTATGATAAGCTTTATCAAAAAATGTGTTCATGAAATTTATAATAAAAACTATTTTACTTATTTTTGAAAACTAGAATTAAAATCTCTATTAAAATGAATAAGTTCTACAATATTAAACTATATATAATAACTAGGCTAAATTTTTTTAACATTTTAAATTATAAGTAATGCAAAGAGATAAACTCAGAATTATTTTCTGTACTTACTCCTTTTTCGATTCAACTTAGGTTTATTACAGAGATAACAGGTTTATTGAATTGTTATAAATACTTAAATGGAAATTATCATATTTGACAAGATTTACTTGGCTATTATAAAAAGATATTAATTGATATTTGAATTTTATTGTGGTTATTTTTATCAAATAAATATATTTAATCTTACAATATTATAATTCCATAATAGCAGAAAATGAAAAAAGGAACATTTCATTATTCTTAATCTTCTTTATTTTATTTTCTTACTTTTTGATTAAGGAGCCATAAAAATATGCTAAAATAAAAAATACAAAAATAACTAAAAATGAAAATAATGATTTTTGAGTAGTATTATGTAAAAATTGGGAAAATAATGTAGGATTTTTTCATAATAATAATAAATCATTTGCATGCAATTAAACCCGGAAGCATAATATGATCAAATCTTCCAATAATTTTATCGAATGCTATAATTAGTTTGGTAATCAAATATTAAAGTGGATCCATACTATTTTCTTCATCTAATTCTTTTTTTTAGCTATCAATAAATTCTTAGTGTTTTTTCTTAACCTTATCAGATGTTTTTTTATTTATTTCTTTTCTTTTTTCTTCTAAATCTTCTATTGCTCTATTCATACGAGTTTCTTTAGTAATGCTTTTTAATCTTTACCATGTTAATAAATATTAAAATTTTTCTTAATTTTCTGGATTTTTAATAGTTTGAATTATTTTTTCAATTATAGTATTAGAATTGACTTCCTAATTCACTAAGTCTTAATATTGAATTAAAATTTCTTTCAATACATCAATAAAATTTTCATCCAATTCTTTGTTGACTATGTTAATCTTATGGATCAAAGTTTTAAATTAATCACCAAATTCATCTTTTTTAATCAACTTATATTCAGTCTTATCAACCAATTTATCATTATCAAACTCGTACTTTCTTTTTTAATTTGATAAAAAAAAGAATTGTGGATCTTCTATTTATAAATCTACAAGAACTTTTTTCACATTTTCTGATGCTTCCGCCAACTACTCCTCATCAGCCTTTTTAGTTTTAGTTGGTCCAGTTTTGGTTATGTTTTTATAACTACTTTATTTGGCCAATAATGAGAATATTCTTTCACAATCAGAATCATCTGCTATATACTCATTCTCATCATCTGAAGATCTTTAAATTTCCACTCCTTCCTTTTGATCATCTTTACTTGGACGCCCGGGTTTTACCCTCTTTTATCGATGAGTCATTTAATAATTTAATGTATAAAAATTTTATTCGTATTCACATATTAAATACTCATTCATAAATTAACCGATCGATTCTGTTAAAAATAGCGAATCAATAATTAAAATAGAAGTTACACCATTTTTTCAGATTTTTCAATAAATTTTATTTCTAATAACTAATTAACCTCAACTCATACAATTTAAAAATTCTTCTTTATTTTCCAAGCAATTCACTAAAGAACTTAACCTTTTGCATCCAATTTAAATAGGAAATAAATTGAAAATATTACTCATAATTTTTGATAGTTTAGTAATTTGTTTGTTATTTAAAAATAACAGATTACCAAAATATTGAGAAAAAATTTCTACTTATAATAATTTGATAAATTATTTATTGAATAAATGCTGGAGATATGTGATTCTAAGTCTCTTTTTTGGCTTCCTAAATAAACTATGATTTGGTGTTTGTTCAAAATGTCAATACAGTGATTAATATTATTATGATTCTAATTATAATTCCTCAATTAAATTAGAATATCTTATGATTTTGATTATGTCAGATTTTGTATTATTAGTGTAAAATGTTGAAAAGAAAATTTCTTGATTTCCAAAAGTTTTGTAGAACAAATAGAAGATTCACTTTAAAATCAATCAAAACCGAATAATTTTATATAAAATCATATAATTAGTCTTCATATCCATAATGATATGATTTTACTGTTATTTTATAAAAAGTTTCAGAAAGTTTAAGTTAAACAATTTATAATTTATAAAAAAATACTGATATTTTAAATGATAAATAGTTTAATTCAAAAAACAATATAGATCTCTATAGTCTTATTTAAAGAATTAGGAATTAATGCATAAAGGTTGAAAAATTATCTTAAATACCGAAGGTAAATTAGAATGGAGATTTTGGGTAATTTATTAGGGAGAATTGAAGACTTTTCCATAATTAATATTCTCTAAGATAATGCAAATAAGCTAATCTAGAGTTAATAAGAAAATAAAAGAGAAAGAAAAATTACAGAAGTTTAGAAAATTTAGTTCATCTTTCAGCTTTAAACTTCCATGAGGATAATTTGTTAGTCGATAGATTTTTCTACAAATTTATGTTTTGAAAAAGTAAAATCATTGCATACTTATCTGATAGGCTAATTTAGTAAAACTGAATTTTAAATTTAAACACAAAGTTATAAATGAAACCAAAGTGAATAGAGCTCCACTTCTCTTAATTTTAAATGGAAGAAAATGAAAATAAATGATTTGAATAAATTATGTCGTCTTAAAAATTATGTACCTTAGCTCAAGCCTTTAGGGAAAATGATTCCCTTTATATTTTGGGCAGATTTAAGGGCCTCATTATTTATAAAGTTAACAAAAAATTTAAAGCAAAAATATGAAACCACAAAAAAAATACTTTAAAAGCACAATAACATATCAAGATGATTATCAAACAAGAAAATTGCCATTGTAATAATACATAAATAAATCTTTAAGCAAGTTATTAAATATAATTCTTTTTTAAAAAACGCATACAGTAAAATATCCATATAATAAGTAAATCCATTCAAGAAAAGTTCAAAGTTATTTATTTATCTTTTTTATGTAAAATTTTTCAGTATCAGTTTGCTTTTGCTAACAGAGCATTTATGATGATGATAACTTTTATTCTTAAAGTGAGTTTTAGATAATACTAGAAGTTTATCTAAAAAACTGCAAATATTAAATAATGCTAAATGAATAGTTCCTTAAAACTACTTGATAAAAAATTAAATTATCATTTACAATCGCTGAATTTCTTTATTTAATTAAAATAACTATATATGTTGTTAGTACATTATATAGCATTTATCTATTTTAAACTATTGCTGATAATTATTCTTCTTCAATTTATCCTCTTACTTTGATTTTATAATTGAATTTATTCAAAACTTTATACTTAATATTATTTATAGAGTGCTCTTTTTCAAGTCAGGTCTTTTGTTGAAACTACTGTTATGTATCAATGTCACTACATCATACCATGTGGGTTTTATATATTCTTTTTTTCGAAATAGTTTTAGGATTGTTAAGAAATTTAGATTTCAATGCCCTATTCCTTATCTCTCAACCTAATTCTGATATAAAAAGAGTTATCGAAACATCTATAGCTTATAGTTATAAAATATGGATAATAAATAACACTTACAGATTCTATAAAAGTATAGAAGGGAACATTTTGTTGAATGCAAGAAATTTAGAGAAATTATTCAATTATAACTATCAAATAATAATTAAACTAAAATAAATCTATAACCAATAATTAAGAGGAATTAGATTTATGGAAAAAATTTCAAATATTCTGTTTTTCTCTGTATGAATAATAATAATTAGAGATTTAACGTTGATATAAAATCTCTACAAAATGATTTTAAAAAAACTTAAGGGATTCATATTTTTTCTTTAGATAACTACAGGAGATTTCCAAATATTTTAATTCTTTATTTTATTCTTTGGTTTTCTTTGATCTTGACTTTTCAAAAATAATAATAAATGGATTTTAGAAATACCAAAATATACTATTATTAAATTTAATAATTATGCTGTTTTTGTATCTCATAATCCATTCATTATTCAAAATTAATTGAATCCTTATCAAAAAATAATATTTCAATATGGAGATTTTGTTCTTCTTTAGACTCCTAAAATAGCTCTTTAAAAAGATAGTAAATTTTTAATTATAATTAATGATTTAATTTGATGAAAATGAGTTCAAGATAAATATTTTGATTAATGAGAGTCAGTCATTTTAAGCTTCCTTAAATGATTTTCATAAAATCTTAAGCTTTATGAAACTTTAAAATTTAATCAAACAATAATATTTGCAAAAGCTGACAAATGGTAATAGATTCTTATAATTTATTGTGAATAAAAAGATATAACACATAATTTAAAGTGTATAATGCAAAAAAAAACTGCAAAACATTAGGAACAATAAAATAAAATTTGAAGATGGTAAATTTTTTTACTATTGCAGCAAATATTTTATAATTGGCATATTTTGTTCTTTTAAATAAATGAACTGAATAGATTTTAAGATGCAATAGAATAATATGATTCAGCTATTCAGAAAAACCCAGAAAATGCAGATTTATATTATGGCAAAGGTATAAATTAATCATGTATATTTTTTTTTAGGGAGTGCCTTAGAAAAGATTTATAGATTTAAAGAAGCCTTGGAGTATTATGATTTAGCTATTCAGAAAAACCCAGAAAATGCAGATTATTATTATGAAAAAGGTTTTAATTAATGATGTATATTTGTTAGGGAATTCTTTATAAAAGATGAATAGATTTGAAGAAGCATTGGAGTATTATGATTTAGCTATTCAGAAAAACCAAGAAAATGCAGATTTTTATTATGAAAAAGGTTTACATTAATAATGTACATTTGTTAGGGAAAACCCTACAAAAGATGAATAGATTTAAAGAAGCCTTGGAGTATTATGATTTAGCTATTCAGAAAAACCCAGAAAATGCAGATTATTATTATGAAAAAGGNATTCTGATATAAAAAGAGTTATCGAAACATCTATAGCTTATAGTTATAAAATATGGATAATAAATAACACTTACAGATTCTATAAAAGTATAGAAGGGAACATTTTGTTGAATGCAAGAAATTTAGAGAAATTATTCAATTATAACTATCAAATAATAATTAAACTAAAATAAATCTATAACCAATAATTAAGAGGAATTAGATTTATGGAAAAAATTTCAAATATTCTGTTTTTCTCTGTATGAATAATAATAATTAGAGATTTAACGTTGATATAAAATCTCTACAAAATGATTTTAAAAAAACTTAAGGGATTCATATTTTTTCTTTAGATAACTACAGGAGATTTCCAAATATTTTAATTCTTTATTTTATTCTTTGGTTTTCTTTGATCTTGACTTTTCAAAAATAATAATAAATGGATTTTAGAAATACCAAAATATACTATTATTAAATTTAATAATTATGCTGTTTTTGTATCTCATAATCCATTCATTATTCAAAATTAATTGAATCCTTATCAAAAAATAATATTTCAATATGGAGATTTTGTTCTTCTTTAGACTCCTAAAATAGCTCTTTAAAAAGATAGTAAATTTTTAATTATAATTAATGATTTAATTTGATGAAAATGAGTTCAAGATAAATATTTTGATTAATGAGAGTCAGTCATTTTAAGCTTCCTTAAATGATTTTCATAAAATCTTAAGCTTTATGAAACTTTAAAATTTAATCAAACAATAATATTTGCAAAAGCTGACAAATGGTAATAGATTCTTATAATTTATTGTGAATAAAAAGATATAACACATAATTTAAAGTGTATAATGCAAAAAAAAACTGCAAAACATTAGGAACAATAAAATAAAATTTGAAGATGGTAAATTTTTTTACTATTGCAGCAAATATTTTAAATGAACTGAATAGATTTTAAGATGCAATAGAATAATATGATTCAGCTATTCAGAAAAACCCAGAAAATGCAGATTTATATTATGGCAAAGGTATAAATTAATCATGTATATTTTTTTTTAGGGAGTGCCTTAGAAAAGATTTATAGATTTAAAGAAGCCTTGGAGTATTATGATTTAGCTATTCAGAAAAACCCAGAAAATGCAGATTATTATTATGAAAAAGGTTTTAATTAATGATGTATATTTGTTAGGGAATTCTTTATAAAAGATGAATAGATTTGAAGAAGCATTGGAGTATTATGATTTAGCTATTCAGAAAAACCAAGAAAATGCAGATTTTTATTATGAAAAAGGTTTACATTAATAATGTACATTTGTTAGGGAAAACCCTACAAAAGATGAATAGATTTAAAGAAGCCTTGGAGTATTATGATTTAGCTATTCAGAAAAACCCAGAAAATGCAGATTATTATTATGAAAAAGGTTTTAATTAATGATGTATATTTTTTTAGGGAATACCTTATTCAACATGAATAGGTTTTTAGAAGCATTGCAATATTATGATTCAGCTATTTAGAAAGACTCAGAGAATGCAGATTATTAAAATAGCAAAGGTATAAATGAATGATTTATATTGTATTAGCGATTACCTTAGATTTGATGAATAGATCGGAAGAAGCATTGGAGTAATATGGTTTAGCTATACAGAAAAACCCAGAAAATGAAGATTTATATTATGGCAAAGGTATAAATTGATTATGTATATTTTCTTAGCGATTGTCTTATAAAATATGAATAGATTTGAAGAAGCATTAGAATATTATAGTTTAGCTATTCAGAAAAATCCAGAAAAAGCAGATTATTAGTCTTAAAAAGGTTGTAATTAATGATGGATATTGTCCTAGCGGCTGTTTTATTCAACATGAATAGATTTGAAGAAGCATTGAAGTCTTATGATTTAGCTATTCAGAAAAATCCAGAAGATGCAGATTATTATAATGGCAAAGGTATAAATTAATGATGTTTATTTTCTTAGCCGTTACTTTAGATAAGATGAAAAGATTTGAAGAAGCATTGGATTATTATGATTTAGCTATTTAGAAAAACCCAGAATATTCTGAAATATATTATGGCAAAGGTCTAAATTAATCATGTTTATTTTCTTAGCGATTGCCTTATAAAAGATGAATAGGTATGTAGAAGCATTTGAATATTATGATTTAGCTATTCAAAAAAACCCAGAACAATCAGATTATTATTATTGCAAAGGTATAAAATACTGATGTATGTTTTCTTAGCGATTGCATTAGAAAAGATGAATAGATATGAGGAAGCGTTGGAGTATTATGATTTAGCTTTTTAGAAAAACCCAGAAAATGCGGAATATTTTTATGGAAAAGGGATAAATTTATGATCTATATTATTCTTAGCCATCGCCTTAGAAAAGATGAAGAGATTTGAAGAAGCATTGGAGTATTATGATTTAGCTATTCAGAAAAACCCAGATAATGCTGATCATTATGATGGCAAAGGTATAAAATATTGATGTATTTTTCCTTAGCGATTGCATTAGATTTGATGAATAGATCGGAAGAAGCATTGAAGTACTATGATTTAGCTATACAGAAAAACCCAGAAAATGCAGATTATTATATTGGCAAAGGTAAAAATTAATGATATATATTTTCTTAGCCGTTACTCTAGTAAGGTTAAAAAGATGCGAAGAATCATTAGAGAATTATGATTTGGCTATTCAGAAAAATCCAGAAGATGCAGATTATTATAGTGGTAAAGGTATAAATTAACGATCTATAATTATTTAGCGATTGCCTTAGTAAAGATGAATAGATTTGAAGAAGCATTAGAGTATTATGATTTAGCTATTCAGAAAAACCCAGAAAATGCTGATCATTATAATGGCAAAGGTATAAAAAATTGATATATCTTTCTTTAGCGATTACCTTAGAAAAGATGAATAGATATGAGGAAGCGTTGGAGTATTATGATTTAGCTATTCAGAAAAACCCAGAAAATGCTGATCATTATAATGGCAAAGGTATAAAATATGATGTATTTTTCCTTAGCGATTGCATTAGAAAAGATGAATAGATTTGAAGAAGCATTGGAGTATCATGATTCAGCTATTCAGAAAAACCCATAAAATGCAGAATTTTATAAATGCAAAGGTATAAATTAATGATCTATAATTATTTAGCGATTGCCTTAGTAAAGATGAATAGATTTGAAGAAGCATTGGAGTATTATGATCCAGCCATCGAGAAAAACCCAGAAAATGCAGATTATTATAAATGCAAAGGTATAAATTAATATCTATAATTATTTAGCGATTGCCTTAGTAAAGATGAATAGATTTGAAGAAGCATTGAAGTATTATGATTTAGCTATTCAGAAAAACCAAGAAAATGCAGATTTTTATTATGAAAAAGGTTTACATTAATAATGTACATTTGTTAGGGAAAACCCTACAAAAGATGAATAGATTTAAAGAAGCCTTGGAGTATTATGATTTAGCTATTCAGAAAAACCCAGAAAATGCAGATTATTATTATGAAAAAGGTTTTAATTAATGATGTATATTTTTTTAGGGAATACCTTATTCAACATGAATAGGTTTTTAGAAGCATTGCAATATTATGATTCAGCTATTTAGAAAGACTCAGAGAATGCAGATTATTAAAATAGCAAAGGTATAAATGAATGATTTATATTGTATTAGCGATTACCTTAGATTTGATGAATAGATCGGAAGAAGCATTGGAGTAATATGGTTTAGCTATACAGAAAAACCCAGAAAATGAAGATTTATATTATGGCAAAGGTATAAATTGATTATGTATATTTTCTTAGCGATTGTCTTATAAAATATGAATAGATTTGAAGAAGCATTAGAATATTATAGTTTAGCTATTCAGAAAAATCCAGAAAAAGCAGATTATTAGTCTTAAAAAGGTTGTAATTAATGATGGATATTGTCCTAGCGGCTGTTTTATTCAACATGAATAGATTTGAAGAAGCATTGAAGTCTTATGATTTAGCTATTCAGAAAAATCCAGAAGATGCAGATTATTATAATGGCAAAGGTATAAATTAATGATGTTTATTTTCTTAGCCGTTACTTTAGATAAGATGAAAAGATTTGAAGAAGCATTGGATTATTATGATTTAGCTATTTAGAAAAACCCAGAATATTCTGAAATATATTATGGCAAAGGTCTAAATTAATCATGTTTATTTTCTTAGCGATTGCCTTATAAAAGATGAATAGGTATGTAGAAGCATTTGAATATTATGATTTAGCTATTCAAAAAAACCCAGAACAATCAGATTATTATTATTGCAAAGGTATAAAATACTGATGTATGTTTTCTTAGCGATTGCATTAGAAAAGATGAATAGATATGAGGAAGCGTTGGAGTATTATGATTTAGCTTTTTAGAAAAACCCAGAAAATGCGGAATATTTTTATGGAAAAGGGATAAATTTATGATCTATATTATTCTTAGCCATCGCCTTAGAAAAGATGAAGAGATTTGAAGAAGCATTGGAGTATTATGATTTAGCTATTCAGAAAAACCCAGATAATGCTGATCATTATGATGGCAAAGGTATAAAATATTGATGTATTTTTCCTTAGCGATTGCATTAGATTTGATGAATAGATCGGAAGAAGCATTGAAGTACTATGATTTAGCTATACAGAAAAACCCAGAAAATGCAGATTATTATATTGGCAAAGGTAAAAATTAATGATATATATTTTCTTAGCCGTTACTCTAGTAAGGTTAAAAAGATGCGAAGAATCATTAGAGAATTATGATTTGGCTATTCAGAAAAATCCAGAAGATGCAGATTATTATAGTGGTAAAGGTATAAATTAACGATCTATAATTATTTAGCGATTGCCTTAGTAAAGATGAATAGATTTGAAGAAGCATTAGAGTATTATGATTTAGCTATTCAGAAAAACCCAGAAAATGCTGATCATTATAATGGCAAAGGTATAAAAAATTGATATATCTTTCTTTAGCGATTACCTTAGAAAAGATGAATAGATATGAGGAAGCGTTGGAGTATTATGATTTAGCTATTCAGAAAAACCCAGAAAATGCTGATCATTATAATGGCAAAGGTATAAAATATGATGTATTTTTCCTTAGCGATTGCATTAGAAAAGATGAATAGATTTGAAGAAGCATTGGAGTATCATGATTCAGCTATTCAGAAAAACCCATAAAATGCAGAATTTTATAAATGCAAAGGTATAAATTAATGATCTATAATTATTTAGCGATTGCCTTAGTAAAGATGAATAGATTTGAAGAAGCATTGGAGTATTATGATCCAGCCATCGAGAAAAACCCAGAAAATGCAGATTATTATAAATGCAAAGGTATAAATTAATATCTATAATTATTTAGCGATTGCCTTAGTAAAGATGAATAGATTTGAAGAAGCATTGAAGTATTATGATTCAGCTATTCAGAAAAACCCGGAAGATGCAGCTTTTTATAACTGCAAGGGTATAAATGAATGATGGATATTTTTAGCGATTGCCATATACAAGATGAATAGATTTGAAGAAGCATTGTAATATTATGATTTGGCAATTTAGAAAAACCCAGAAAATCCAGATCATTATAATGGCAAAGGTATAAAAAATTGATATATCTTTCTTTAGCGATTACCTTAGAAAAGATGAATAGATTTGAAGAAGCATTAAATTATTACGATTTAGCTATTCAGAAAAACCCAGAAAATGCAGATTATTATAAATGCAAAGGTATAAATTAATGATCTATAATTATTTAGCGATTGCCTTAGAAAAGATGAATAGATTTGAGGAAGCATTGAATTATTATGATTCGGCTATTCAGAAAAACCCAGAAAATGCAAATCATTATAATGGAAAAGGTTAAAATTTATCAGATTACTTTTATTAGCCATTATCTTAAAGAACATTTTTAGATTTGAAGAGGCTTTGCGATATTATGATTTAGCTATTAAGAAAAATCCAGAATAAGCAGATTATTATTATGGCAAAGGTAAAAAGATAGTTACATAATAATAGCTGATAATCTATAAAATATGAATAGATTTGAAGAAGCATTGAAGTATTACGATTTAGCTATTCAGAAAAACCCAGAAAATGCAGCTTTTTATAACTGCAAAGGTATAAATGAATGATGGATATTTTTAGCGATTACCTTATTCAAGATGAATAGATTTGAAGAAGCATTGTAATATTATGATTTGGCAATTTAGAAAAACCCAGAAAATCCAGATCATTATAATGGCAAAGGTATATTATATTGATGAGTATTTTTTAAGCCATTGTTTTATTCTAGATGAATAGATTTGAAGAAGCATTGAATTATTACGATTTAGCTATTCAGAAAAACCCAGAAAATGCAGATTATTATAAATGCAAAGGTATAAATGAATGATGGATATTTTTAGCGATTGCCTTAGTAAAAATGAATAGATTGGAAGAAGCATTAAAGTATTTTGATTAATCCATTCAGAAAAACCCAGAAAATGCAGATCATTATAATGGAAAAGGTATAATTTCAAGATGTATATTTCCTTAGCGATTGCCTTAGAAAAGATGAATAGATTAGAAGAAGCATTGTTGTATTATGATACAGCTATCCAGAAAAACACTTAAAATTCAGATTATTATTATGGCAAAGGTAAAAAGTTGTGATATATATTTTCTTAGCGATTGCCTTATAAAATCTGAATAAATTTGAAGAATCATTGAAGTATGTTATTCAAAAAAAACCAGAAAAAACAGATTAAAGGAGTAAAGGTAAATTTAACCTTTTAACTTCTAGTTACAGCTGAGGCAAAAATACAATAAAACTAATAATTTTAAGTTTCCAATTATGAATCTATTCAACATATTTAAGAGGATCTTATTTGAATTGAAACTATATATATTTAATAATAATAATAATTAATTACAAAAAATATCATTATTAGGAATTCATAAGGAAGGGACTTTGTTAAAACAGAAGAGATATTAGATATTAGACGTCACTTCCTAATCATTACTAGTAAAAATGGTGAAGGCCCACACCAGCGCTGGTGACTCGTCCTTCACTCATTGGTGTTATGTAAAGTTGTAGATTAGTCTCATACCTATCCAGCAACCTATTCGTTAAAGAGAATAGCTTTACTACAAACTTCGACTATTCTCTTTGGTTTAAGAGCGTCAGAATAAATCGTAAACATTATTGGGCACTACTGGGTTTGGTTTTTACTAAAAATAATAGCAGCCTAGTTAAAAGGCACGCTATTTACTTTTCCCCAGCTCTGGGAAGGGAGGACCATGAAGAACCGGGTTTGGGGTTGGCTTTCTTATATTTAGACAGCTCAACAGTCCTTCTGACATAAGGCGGCTCAATAGTCAAATAAATTTTTTTTTATGAAATATAAATTTTTTCCTTATGTCAATTTTTTTTTCACTTTTCATATAAAATTTTTCCCACCAAAATATAAAGATAGGTTGGAGAAATAGTGATAAAATATTTCATAAAAAAAAGCAAAGGGGGGAGTATTGGAAAAAGTGAACTTTTAATTTTGTGAAAATTGTCTCCACATGGTTTGGGGTTGGGGTTGGGTTTGGGGTTGGGGTTGGGGTTGGGTTTGGGGTTGGG